CATCTGAGCCAATCGATGGCGAGATCACGTTGGTGTAACAAAAGATATAAGATCAGAGCATCAAGCACAGGAATTCTGGGACAGCATTTCACCTCAAAACACTTTCCTTGTGCATCTGATGACCTTAATTTCACCTGAAAGTATTGCGATGAAAAAAAAACATACAGTATTTAACTTGAGATTCATCGGTGGTTTCGGCCATGTTTTATCATTCAGGCAAAGACAAATTGCTGATGTCTTTTCTCACGCTTCAAATTTTTTTCCTATGGATTTCCTATTTTTCTCATGATTTGGCATTAAATATGTTACCTTTTTTAAAGTTGTAGATCACAAAAGACAACATATTGTGCAGTTTTCTTTCCCATTAGAAAGGAAACGTATAGTTAGGATATAATCATTGGGAAAAACCAGAGTTGGAGATTCCTTATTGCGCTAAAGCTAGAGATTTTATACTTGCTTCTTTATTATGCTAAAGGTGGAGATTGTATTTAATTTTGTTTTTAGTATAGAGTTATCTTGTGTTGTGTGCTCCTCATAAACCGGTGAAATTTCCACTGTGGGACGAATGAAGGTTCTCTTAAATCGTAATCATATTTGTCGGAATTGAATAGTTCCACTGATGAAAAATTCTCTTAAATATCGAGCGTTGTTCCTTTAACTTCCAAGTGAACACGGTTGATAGAGTTTACTGTCGATCCTTATTGAGGATTCCTTATGAGTGTGACCTTTTCCTCTGCAAATACATTAGGATAATTGGTGTATCCATTGTTGTGGGTTTATTTAAAGCCTGAGGTTTCTAGTAAAGAAAATGGATTAGTAATTAATGATTCCTGAATAATTTTATGTTAAGGAAAGATGGTTAGAGGTTAAGAACATCCGGCTACACATTCAAAGTCGGTCATCATATCCACTACTGTATGTACATGTAGCCGGTTAGCAGCTGGTTCTCTGGGATTCCAGTGACAATGTGAAAGCAGTAAAAACAAAAAAACTTTAACCTGAATGATTGACTTGAGTACATTTAGGGTCAAATAGCGATACATGGCACTGCAAGAGCTTGTATTGTTGCGGTGTATTGTTATCCAGGTTTAAAAGAGGATCAAGCACAACTGTGAAACTAAATCTATTGTTGACGGTGTGTGTCTGTGTGCATGCGATGTGTGTGAGAGCCAAAGAGGGATTATATCACACCTATCTCTGCAGAGGACAGAGGTCAGCTCATGTAATCACAACTACAGCCTGATGGACAGATTATGACAGAAAACATGGCCCCCAAACACCAGAAACTGACCTGTTGTATACATAGCCACTACCTATTATCCTAGAAAGCAAATTAACTTGTATACTACAGCTTTATAAGTTACAAAGAAACACATGATGTATATTACAATCAAAATGAGCAGTAAGTTCAATTTTGGGCTGTGTTTCAGTTTTTTTTTCCTATTGTGCAAAGGGGAAAAAAAATGCGGTGGTATCTGCATATCTGACCAACACAGAGTGAAAGAAATGACTCAGACATTTGAAAACATACTAAAAATATCAAGACAACTGATGCAGTGCTATTAGACATAACCACAACAATGTCAGTTTCCAAGTTATGATTGATTGAGTGATTACTTCCATCGGGACAACAGCTTCCACAAAACACATAAATCCAGCATTTCCATTAACTAAATTGCAAGAAAATATTGAACAAGTCACGACTGGCAGATGTATTCCGTGAAGTCACTTTATATCCGCTACATCGACTGCCCCTATCTGTCCGTCCACACATTCCCGCACTCATCCACGATCACGACAGTCATGCAACATTTGTGCTGAGCCATAAGCACTCTCCGCACCTCCATAAAACCACTTTTCCAAATTTAAAAACATATTTATCTTGCGTCCTCATAAATCCTGACAATAAAGACAGAAACAACACGCTGAATTGTTTATGTAACGGTCAAGTGTGATATCCAGAGCCGCAATCACACAACGCAGATGCCCACCCACTTTTACAACGATTACATTATAGCCTCCATATTATACAAGCTTTTAAGTCCCGGGTTACATTAAGACATGGTGACAAAACATACAGTGTGCATATGGGGTGACACAGAACAAGCATGTCTGAGAAGTTGTCACGTCAAGCGCCCACTGACCGTACATCAAGGCCTATATTATACCACTGTGCGTAAAGTGCGAAGATTTAATGGTGTGACTGAGTGGTCTGTGAGTGCGGCTAATGCAGGTCGTGACTGACTTGTGCAGAGTTAATTCTTAATGGCTTTTAGCATCAACTTTAATCACGGACGACGTCGCCTTCCTCTAAAAGGACCTTGTACAGGAGGCACTTCATTTGTCAGTTCCCACCTCACTGGGTTCGCATCAGACCTATAATGGGGCTGGCTGACTGCAAGTTACATGCACATGCAGTCAGGGCCATGCCGCCATAATGTGCAGATGATGTATAAGCACACGGCTATAGGACACGTGCTAGAAGCTACTGGTGAGAGGGATAGATATGCTGAAGGTTATGGGATAATTTATTTATCCTTGTTAAGGGAGCATATATATATTGCTCCCTGTTTTTGTGTGTGTGTGTGGCAAACCCTCCTGTCTGAAGTTCCCTGGCCTGTCATTGGACAACCACTGGCCCTCCCACTTCCCAGAAGTTTGTGACTCAGGTGCTGATTGGAGGAGCAGCGGTGCACCTGGCCCATTCAGCTTCCTCACCTGGAGTCACTCTCCTACTTAAGGCCACACACCACACCTGTTAAGGGCTGCCAGCCTGTGTGTGGCTGGTATGCCATTGTCCTTATGGAGTCTGTCGTTGTCACAGTGGTGGCAGTGACTTAAAGACGAATCCGTATAGCTTTGTTTTGGTTTGTCTCTTTTTATTTGTCACTTTGAGGTTTTGTTTTCGTGACACTTCGCATCAGTTGAGACAACAGTAGTAGTGATGGCAATATGAAGCCCCATGAAACCTTGAGGGATCGCAGCCTATTACTCGGCCCATGAGTCGAAGGCTCGAGGTGAATCATGCTCCACTACGCCATCATGTGGACAAAGAAATACATAACACTCTTAAGTGCTTACAATGAATGGTGAGATCTATTGTTAACATGTATATTTACAATCTATGGTCTAACGTGTTGTGTTTGAAATGATGCTTCATGAACTATGAACTATTTGAGTCTTTCAGTCAATTGTGTTGATACAACAAACACATCCAAAGTAATACAGTTCTACAGAAAGTGATTAATGGAGGAAAAACTACCAAGAGGTGGATTAATTAAACACAACAAACCATTTATTCCCAATAAATAAATACATTTACTTTGCAACACAAAATTTATTATGGGTAGACCAGGATTCGAACGCTATATCTTCTACTTCGGAGTCTGTCATATACCGACTGCGCCACACAGCCGTTGTGAAATGTATTATCCAGCGTATTATTACTGATAACTTAAAGCCTTGATATATGAGGTTTTACTAAAGTGAAACGTTTTTAATTGTATTTCATATGAAGTAGTTTCTCTATACTTAGTACAGGACTGCTCCACATCACGCACACACACGTACAGTATGCACACACACGTACGCACACAGAGGCAGACGGGGACAGCCAATACAGTCTATGGTACAGCCGCGGATCACAAAGCACCTGTCAAAGCAATGCACTCTCCGAACTATATGAACCGTCACGTGGTGCGGCCGCTACGCGAGGCTTCGAATGTCACCACATACGTCACCAACACACGCCTCGAACCACGCTTCAAAAAATACGCCCCTTTTTTACTCGGTACACGCTTCGAAGACCCGGCACGCTCAGCACATCACTAAACAGTAGGTTTAGTGTTTATTTCTGTGTATTAGTGTAGGCTTTATTTTGGTAGCGCTGAGTTACCCCCTTGTGTCCTTTTGCTTTTTGTCTACTTATCATTTACTTGCCTTTTATTAGATACTTGCTTTTCCATTTAACATCTTGGTTTTCATTTGTTACCTCCCTCACCCTAGCTGAGCTGGGTCGTAACAATCCTTATAGAGCCATTTTTCCTTTGCATTTGACCCACCCACCAATGCCACTAGGGCCTCTGTTGCCAAAGTGTACTGCCCATCTCCACATGTTGATACTCTGCTTGGTCAGGACAACAGGAGCTAGTAAGTTAGTAATTCTTATTTTTTATAGTGCCTTTGCACTTTGCATAACGCTTTGCAATTGTTGTGGGATTTGTCTCACTCCACACAGATTTGGAAGTGAGGTTTTAGTGGTAGGAGAAACCAGTGCACCTGGAAGAAACCTACACAGGGAAAACATGCAAACTCCACACAGAAAGACCCTGTTCCGATCAGGATTAAAACCCAGGACCTAACCACTGTGCTATCTGAGTTTTATATATTTTCACTTTTCCACAATTTTGATCAAGGTTGTCAAGATTCCTTTCCCGTCTTTATAGTCATCCTAACATAATCGTTTGGGTAAACCAGAGCAAATTTCCAGCACCTGTCCCATCCATATACAGTGAAGAGTTACACAATGTGATATGCATACCGCCACACTGCATGAAAACGTCGCCTGCTTTTCACCAAACCCTTTCATTCGTTATCACATTCACCTTAGCAGATGCAGATGTACAAATGTCTGTATGTATGCATATATTTATAGCTTTAACACAGGTGTTCACATAACTCGGTGAGGTGTGTAACTGCCTATACATGTACGTGTAAATTATGCATACATATTTTGCACTTTGCTCAGCTTAATGCCAGTAAATACAAATTTACTTTACTTTACATGTGTGTCCATGAACCAGCAGGCTCTTTGCCCGACACTGTTCCATGTATTTTTCTCTTTCTGTGTGAGCGATAAGAGCGAACAGCTGCGTTATACAGCCTGTAGTGTGAGAGCGGTAATTAGTGCAGAAGATGATTGTATTATTTGGATTAGTTGGTTCAAAGTGGAGGGAGGCAGGTGAGCGGATCCGGCCCGCAGCTGCACTTAAACCAGTCAAATGGAACCGCAGACGAGAAACAGGGCCAAAGGGTCAATGCGGGGAGAAGGTGAGAGAAATTACGCAAAGATGTGCCAAACATGAGAGGACGGGAATTTTAGAGGAAGTTTGTGTGTTCAAGTGATAATGGGATGCGTTCAGTCATAATTCAATGGGATCCTCAAGAAGCACTGGTTTGTGAGAAAAGTGTATTCTTGTGTTAAAAAGGACAAAACAAAAGAAAACAAATTCAACATTGTTTTTAAATTTGTGGCTCTAACACTCTCGTATCTCAGAAAGAAGGTCCTGGGTTTGAATCCCGGCCGGAACAGTGCCTTTCTGAGTGGAGTTTGAATGTTCTCAATGTGTCTGCGTAGGTTTCCTCCGGGTGCTCCGATGACCCCTACCTCTAAAAACATGCACAATAGGAATGGCATGCGCCTCCTGTATGGTGACTTTGCTCCCATCTCTATGTGGAGAGAGAGACAAATGCCCACAACAATTCTAAAGGGCTTTGTGAATATAAAAATAAATATTACTTAGTGTTTAGTAGGTGTTTAGTATTTTGATAACGATAGTATTGCGATATTTTTGTCTTTCACCTACAATTGCTATCTGCATTATTTTCTGCAAATAACAGAAAATAATTACAGCATTAATGACTTTCAAATGCATATATTTATATACTTTTTTGTTTGTTTATTGGTTTGTTGTTCTTTTTGAATGTTGATGTGTCTGTTTTGTTGTATTTAATAAAGATTTTTTTTTTTATAAAAAAAAAAAGTTTTATTTTTCATCGTTTATCTTTTTTATATGGAAATTGCACGCACCAAAATCGCAATAACAATATTTTTTTGATATGTCGTGCAGCCCTACTTACATAATTAAATGTACTGAAGAAGTATGAGGAGGAAAGAGAGTGATGGCCTCAGCGAGTAATGTGAGGGAGGGGTATAGTCAGGGAATGTTTTCATGACCTGTCTCAGTGAGTGTGTGTGTATTGTATTGTATTGTATTGTATTGTATTGTAGGATATATCTTATGTCTACGAAATACACATGGCCTTTGTAATATTCTAGTCCCACACGGTGGCAAACTACTGCTCAAAGGTCACTTCTATCACTCTACTAGGAATCAGGAAGGTGTGATCAGATGCACCACAAAGCCGAAAGGGCACTGGACATTTCTCTCCTTTGTCTTAGCGATGCACCGACAGCTTTAACAGTTTGGTTTCATGTTGACAAGGAACAAGACACGAGTGACCACAATGTCCTAGACTGCTACATGGACAGTACATTTGCATGAGTCAAGCTGTGTTTATCCAATCCCAACAATGGATCAATACTTCTCTGATAAGATTGGTATTAGTCATGGGATCAATACTTGGTTTTAGCTTTTGGTGCACTCCATTGCAATCAGTGTCTGTAGATACATTGTGTGAATGCTCCACGGTTTAATTGCTCATTTGTATCATTTTAGCCCATTATCTCTCTCTTGGTGCTATATCTGACCACACCTTAACAGTCATTTTGTACCTGTTTGGACTGAAATGTTGGTAGGACATCCACATGATGCATGTACAGTGACGATGCAAAACAGTTTACGAAATGAGCATAAAATGATCAAGTTACACCGTAAAACCCAACTGAATTAATGGAATATTTATGTTGTAAGTTTCCAAAGGTGTGAAGTGTTAAGTATCTAGAACCAATACTTTAGTACTTGATACTCTTGAACAAGTATTGACAATAAAAGCAATGACATAAAGCAAGCAAATTTGTAAATTTCTTAGAACGTCTTCATCAATGACTTAAAAAAAAGAACCTAATTGACCCGAGAAAAGTGTTAATTAATTTTAAAGGGGACATATCATGAAAAATCCACTTTTTGTGATTTACGAGTGCAGGAGGAAAGCAACAAACGCAGCTTACGTCAAACAAGACAGGAACAGGCAAAACAAACGACTGCACATTTATAAGTTATATATAGTTAGATATAAGTTATAGATAGTTAGAGTTACGTTATATATATGTTATATAAAATATATAGATGTAGATATAATTTATATATATTTAGATATAAGTTTAGAATATTTATAGAGTTATATTATGTTAGATAAAGTTATATATATGTTAGATTAGTCCACAGTCTCCTGTATATCAGCTCTTTTCCTGAACACAAAGCCTCTGCTCCATATGCCTCGTCCATGCTCCGCAGCAGCCGCTCCGGCTTCTTCCAATACACACCCCCGACCAATCACAGGCGGAAGCTTCTCTCACACACGGACCAATCACAGCGGAGCGTCTCTCACAACACGGACCAATCACAGCGAGCTTTCTTTGCGCGACCCTTACGTAGTTAGAAAATTTCGATGCTGCGCGCAGGTGTTCAACCAAACCTCAGATGTAGATTTTTATTTTATTTTTATTACTAAGCACGTCTTATTCTACTTTTATTATTCCCTAATTTGTGACAATTTCCTGTTGCTCACAATGGCAATGAAAATAATGTTGTTGGATGCAAATGTTTTCAATTACTGATTATATTCACAACGATCAGGCATGACATGTTTAACTAGAACACCCCAGGGCAGTCAGTTTGACAGATTTCAGGTTTGGCAGTATAGTCATGTACATTTCTGGCTCTTTATGTTTCTATGCGTAGTTTATAGAAATTATTAACAGGTCCTGGTTTTATTCCAGCTTGGGTCGGTCCAGTTTTAGTTACCGTACCAACACATTATTTACTGACTTACTCTTAATGAAACTAGTCCAAAACTAACTTTTAATTAACAATTTTAATTGGAGCCATCAAAATGACTGCTTTGGGAGTTCTAGTAGTTTTCTGAGAGTCCTAGTGTTAACAAACATCAGTTAAAACCTTAGAAGGAATTGACCATCAAAATATTGGTATTCATCTGCCAAACATTTGCAATTAAAATGACTACGACTATCAATTATTTAATCATCTTCACATTGACCCGTTTTTATTAGATTATAGTAAAATCCTGTTAGTTATCGCCCATCCATTCGCTTCTGCTTATGCTATTGCCGGGTTTCGGTGGCAGTAGTCTGAGCAGAGACCCAGAGTGGACTTCCCTCTCTACGCACACTTCCTCCAGACAGTATACAGTATATGTATTTACAGAAGAGGACGTACTGCATCATGTATGTGCGGCTGTGTTCCCCCAGATGAACCGCTGAAGAAGCCGGTGCCAATCTATGAGCAGACGGTGAAGGACGAGAAGGGCCGATACCAGAGATTCCACGGGGCGTTCACTGGAGGCTTTTCTGCAGGATATTTCAACACTGTCGGCACCAAAGAAGGTCAGTGCAGACGTCTCACTCCTCTCTCACTGTGGCTTCTGTCTCATGTTCTTGTATGTTTTTTGTGTTGAAATTAGGATGGACGCCCTCAACATTCAAGTCCTCGCGGGAAGACAAATTCGACCAGCAGCGGGCCCGACCGGAGGACTTCATGGACGAGGAGGTAGGACGTTTGTGTCACACTGGTCTGGCTCACTTTAACTGGACTGAGTTGGGTTCACTTTAATGCACCAGGTTTTATACAGCTTTACTCATTCACTCCATACACAGTGGTGATAAACTACTACTATAGCCACAATTGCCCTGGGCCACAGTGAAAGAAGCAAGGCGACCTGTCTGTGGCATCAGGGGCCGACCATTCACACACACATCAGACTCATTCTAATGTGGGTGAAGTGTCTTGCCTAAGGACACAACGACAGTATGGTACTTTCTCTCCCATCACAGTACTAACCAGACCCTGCCCTGTTTAGCTGAAGCCTGTAGGTGGTGCTATTCTTAGTGGGCATTGTACTTTAAAACAAAAGTATTCCCCTTAAATTAGTTTTGTCAATTTCTTAAGTGAAATGATTTTCTTTACAATCTCATGTCTGTGTTGGCAGCTCCTTCTGGTGGCAGTAAAGTTACTGGCAGAAAGTATTTTTTACCCCTCATTCTTTTATTTTCCCAAAGATATTTTTTCACATTCTCAAACAGGAAATGCACAATAAAGAGTGTAATTATTATTATTCTGCCAGTGTGCCCCAGGGCAGCTGTGGCTACAATAGTAGTTATTACCACCGTGTATGGAGTGAATGAATAATGACATCTTTGAGTGTCCAAAAAAGCGCTATATAAAACCGATTTTTTATTATTATTTTCAGAGCATTATTTTATCCATATAAGTATCCATCATATCCAAAAACAGTGCATCATTTCTTCTTTAAAGCTTTAGTACCTTTTCTTTTTCATAAATATATTTTATCTGCCCCAACAACATGGGATCAAATCAGGCCTAAAGTGTTCCTTTAACGAGCCTCTTTCTGTCTGGAAGTTAGAATCTCCAGCTTTAAGCTAGACCAGTCACCCACATTGTCTTCTACGTGCTTGAGCGATTGCAGGTTTGCATTTCTGTCTGTCACTGTTGTTCTGTAACTTTCCTGGCAGGACTTCGGCGAGCACGGCATCGCTCCCAGAGAGATCACCCGCAGCGCAGAGTTCCAGTCGGGACACAGGAAAGAGGCGTCAGAAAAAGCTCGAGCCGTGAACGCTCAGTCGTCGCTGATCCCCGGAGACACACTGCTGGAGGAGATCATCGCTCCTGCCAAGTAACTCACTCAGGAGTCTTTAACAGTGCTCTGATACTGCTCAATCTAAAGCACATTTACAAAGTCTAAGAATGCAGAGTATCTTCTTAAATAAAATAAACCTTTTATTCGGATGACTATAGTTGCACTTGGTTCAAGGATAAGTCACTTGTGGAGTATACACTGTAGTTAACAGCATCATGAGGTATTTACAGATGAAAACAGAGAAAATGAACAGAATAAACAATATTCTTATGGATTATCAGAACAGGTGAATGGCACATGTAGAAACTCAGCCGTCTGAGGTCTTCTTGTGGAGTACCTTGAAAATGAATGCGTCCCAAAGTTCTTTGTAAACGTACTCATTCACACTGTTGGAGTAACTCACAGGGACGGTCTTTCAGGTCGTCCATCGGTGTGGAGCTCCTTAAGACAATGGGCTGGAGAGAAGGTCAGGGGGTCGGACCCCGAGTGAAGCGGAAGCCAAGGAAACAGAGAACAGGTACAAACACTCGGCAGGAAATAGATCTAAATGACCTCCATCGCTATGGAGACAATTGATTAAACGAAAGTTCTAGTGTTAAAATAAATTAGTCGTTTATTTTTAACACTAGAACTGTCAGAGCAGTCAATATGACGGCTTTTTGTTTTGGAAGTATGTTTGTGGTCTTCATCACTTTGTGATGGGTTTTCTTTATAGTTTATTTCTATGGGTTTGTTTTAGTGAAATTACATTCTTATTTTTGAAATGTGCTTCAATCATTTGAATCTAAAATTTTTATATTTTTTTGGTATTAAAGTTTTAGCACTTACTAAATTAGAATTTAAAAATCTGTATGAATTGTTTTAATAACAGTAGTGAAAAACAATGAGAAATCCTGAAAAACTTAAAAATTCCATTGATTTGAATGAGAGCCGTCAAAATGACTGCTTTGGAGTTCGCGTGTTAAACAATGCCTTAGAAGATTCCATACAACAGGAAACGTTGAGTTTCTTTGTGATGAACTAAACATGAACTAATGTTTGAACAGAGGAAAGTCTCCGGGTTTACGGCTGTGCGCTTCCATCCAGAGGATCAGAGGGCTCCGAGGTAAGATCGACGTGCACCACACATCGTACACACCCACACACATGTCACACACACACAGGTCCATAATGAGCGGGATGACCACTGTCCAGAAACTTTAATAAATATTCATAAATGTCTCTGGTCAGAACCAGGACTGAAGCTGCAGAACCAGGACTGACGCTGCAGAACCAGGACTGACGCTGCAGAACCAGGACTGACGCTGCAGAACCAGGACTGACGCTGCAGAACCAGGACTGACGCTGCAGAACCAGGACTGACGCTGCAGAACCAGGACTGACGCTGCAGAACCAGGACTGACGCTGCAGAACCAGGACTGACGCTGCAGACCCAGGACTGACGCTGCAGACCCAGGACTGAAGCTGCAGACCCAGGACTGAAGCTGCAGACCCAGGACTGAAGCTGCAGACCCAGGACTGAAGCTGCAGACCCAGGACTGAAGCTGCAGACCCAGGACTGAAGCTGCAGACCCAGGACTGAAGCTGCAGACCCAGGACTGAAGCTGCAGACCCAGGACTGAAGCTGCAGACCCAGGACTGAAGCTGCAGACCCAGGACTGAAGCTGCAGACCCAGGACTGAAGCTGCAGACCCAGGACTGAAGCTGCAGACCCAGGACTGAAGCTGCAGACCCAGGACTGAAGCTGCAGACCCAGGACTGAAGCTGCAGAACCAGGACTGAAGCTGCAGAACCAGGACTGAAGCTGCAGAACCAGGACTGACGCTGCAGAACCAGGACTGAGGCTGTAGAACCAGGACCGGGGGTGTACATCCAGGAGATTTTTTCAAGACATTTTGTGATTCTAACTTGTTTTAGGACACAAAGGGAACTGATTTGTTTAGTGGTCTTTTAAAAGTCCTGCACCTCCCAATCCTGGGTGATTCCCTGTTCTGTTCTCTTCCTGTGATTCTGATTTCTTTAGTTAGTTACGATGTCCATCTTTCTGCAGTGGTTTTTGATTTGCTTTGATCCAGGAGGACGACGACGATGACGAGTTCGCTCCAGAGAATGTGACGTTTGCGCCCAAAGACGTGACCCCGGTGGACTTCACTCCTCACCTGGGCCTTCAGGGTCTGGGGTACCGTGGCCTGGACCCGGGTCTGGCTCTGGGGCAGGGGGCCGAGCACATAAACCTGTTCGACCCTCAGTTCGACTCCAAGGTGAAACTGTTCGGAGGAAAACAGAAGCAGAGCAGACGCAGAGGAGTCGCTGGACAGGTCAGCCCTCTACTTTAGTGCATTTGGTAAAGCTGGGGTACCTGACTTTTCTGTTTCATAAGAAGCACATGTAGTTTGTCCCAACAGAAAATAAAGTGTTGCTTCTTTTTACTGTAAAAACATGTTATCTTTTGCATACTTGTAAGATACATATTTGCCTCTTTGGGCTGAGAGCTGATTGGCTGAGTGAGGGTGGTCCTCTCTTTTTCACTTTTCTGTCTGAAAAAGCTGATCTATATTTTTGACAGAGGCCAGCAAATATATGCATTGGAAAACTAGTGATCAAAGTTTTGGAAGTTATGTACCCCAGCTTTAAAGACCGTGGCTGGTCTCTCTATCTGGTCTGTCTCTGTCTCTCTGATCCTCTCTTTTTTCACTGTGCTGTTTGAAAAGGCTAATCTAAATATGTGACAAAGGCCAAAAACACGATAATGTAAAAAATAGTGACAGAAGTAAACTGTTTTATAGCCAGGCTCTAATTACATGGATTTTATTACGGAGTTCCGTCTGTTTTAAAGTTAGTTACTCATACCTTTTAAAGGAATAGGCCACCGTTTTTACATACTGACATATGTTCTTACCTTAGACTAGTTAATATGTACCTGTGTGATCTTTGTCCGTGCGCTCTGTCATGCAAACGGAGCACAAACGCAGCCTCTTCCACAGACTGTATAGTTCCAAATCAGCTCCCGTTAGAAGCTACCAAACTCTTCCACGTGTTCCCTATTTAAATACAGTTACGTGACTCTACAAAGTATAGTAACACAGAAATGTAATATGTCAATTTTCTCAGCGGATAAAAAGGGGTACTATATTGTGAGGCGTAATAATACGAGGAGCTCTATGTCGGCGCACTAACTCCTAAAGACTTCTCTCCCGCTCACGCTACTTCTATTGACGGAAGTGAGCGGGAGAGAAGTCTTTAGGAGTTAGTGCGCGGACTTATAGTGATTTGTTACTATACAGTCTGTGGAAGAGGCTGCGTTTGTGCTCCGTTTGCATGACAGAGCCCACGGACAAAGACCAGGTACATATCAACTAGTCTAAGGTAAGGTAAGAACATTATGTCAGTATGTAAAAACGGTGGCCTATTCCTTTAAGGCCAAAGCACATTAATATCCACTAAAACATTATCTTGATTCTATTCAGTGTGAGATAAGGTTTTCATTAGAATATGTATAGATAAACAAGTATAATGGATAAAGAAAGGATTTCAGCAATGAAATTCCTCCATCTGGTGGTAGAGGTGGGAAATTATTATTATTACTGGAAAGCTTCTTTTAAAAATGTGATTGTTTTAATATTCTCCGTAACTGAACAAAAAAACCACTGCCTCTCGTCAGGGCTTTGGCGTGGGCGCCCTGGAGGACGAGGACGAGGACATTTATCAGAGAGACTCCATCTCTAAATACGACACAGAGATCAAAGAGGAAGAGCCCACAGACGGACTGTTCGGCTGGACGGCGCCGCAGGAATACACCAAGAAGAAGGGTACGAGACGCAGTTGCAGAGTCACAGCATTAATAAAGATACAATTATTTCTCTATATATTGACATGATATGTTGCATATTTTCCCTCAGCTGCAAACCGGGATGCCGCATACCTGGGTAAAATCTTGGAGGGATTCACTTTGGCCCAAAAGTCCGAAGCACTAAAAAGCGTGAGTTTTGTTGTATGGATCAAAATTCTGCAGTCTCTTGTATTGAAGCCCTATTCACTGTCTGTGTGTAACTCTGTGTGTGTCTTTGTGTGTCTGTCTTTGTGTGTCTCTGTGTGTGTCTTTGTGTGTCTGTGTGTCTGTGTGTGTGTGTGTGTGTTAGACCTTCCCTCCACCCCGACTTCCCAGAGACTACCGGCCCGTGCGGCGCTTCAACCCTGGCACGTTTGTGAGCCACGTGTCGGGGGTGAGTCCTGCTCTGGCTCAGGCCCTGAAGACCTCCAGGGGCCACATGGTCAAAGACGAGCCCCAGACCGGACGCCATCAGCTGGACTCTGGGCAGCGGAGAACCCTGATCGGAGAGGAGGCGCTGGAGGGTCAGTCAACTGTGCTCTTCTCACTTATGTCTGAGCTGGTGGAAAAGAGACCTGTGATTGGTCATATTTTGCTGTAACATTAATTTTTTTATAGTCCTAAATTATAATAGTACTGGAGACCAGAGAGTGAGAGACCAGAGAGTGAGAGACCAGAGAGTGAGAGACCAGAGAGTGAGAGACCAGAGAGTGAGAGACCAGAGAGTGAGAGACCAGAGAGTGAGAGACCAGAGAGTGAGAGACCAGAGAGTGGGAGACCAGAGAGTGGGAGACCAGAGAGTGAGAGACCAGAGAGTGAGAGACCAGAGAGTGAGAGACCAGAGAGTGAGAGACCAGAGAGTGAGAGACCAGAGAGTGAGAGACCAGAGAGTGAGAGACCAGAGAGTGAGAGACCAGAGAGTGAGAGACCAGAGAGTGAGAGACCAGAGAGTGAGAGACCAGAGAGTGAGAGACCAGAGAGTGAGAGACCAGAGAGTGAGAGACCAGAGAGTGAGAGACCAGAGAGTGAGAGACCAGAGAGTGAGAGACCAGAGAGTGAGAGACCAGAGAGTGAGAGACCAGAGAGTGAGAGACCAGAGAGTGAGAGACCAGAGAGTGAGAGACCAGAGAGTGGGAGACCAGAGAGTGGGAGACCAGAGAGTGGGAGACCAGAGAGTGGGAGACCAGAGAGTGGGAGACCAGAGAGTGGGAGACCAGAGAGTGGGAGACCAGAGAGTGGGAGACCAGAGAGTGGGAGACCAGAGAGTGGGAGACCAGAGAGTGGGAGACCAGAGAGTGGGAGACCAGAGAGTGGGAGACCAGAGAGTGGGAGACCAGAGAGTGGGAGACCAGAGAGTGGGAGACCAGAGAGTGGGAGACCAGAGAGTGAGAGACCAGAGAGTGAGAGACCAGAGAGTGAGAGACCAGAGAGTGAGAGACCAGAGAGTGAGAGACCAGAGAGTGAGAGACCAGAGAGTGAGAGACCAGAGAGTGAGAGACCAGAGAGTGAGAGACCAGAGAGTGAGAGACCAGAGAGTGAGAGACCAGAGAGTGAGAGACCAGAGAGTGAGAGACCAGAGAGTGAGAGAGACCAGAGAGTGAGAGACCAGAGAGTGAGAGACCAGAGAGTGAGAGACCAGAGAGTGAGAGACCAGAGAGTGAGAGACCAGAGAGTGAGAGACCAGAGAGTGAGAGACCAGAGAGTGAGAGACCAGAGAGTGAGAGACCAGAGAGTGAGAGACCAGAGAGTGAGAGACCAGAGAGTGAGAGACCAGAGAGTGAGAGACCAGAGAGTGAGAGACCAGAGAGTGAGAGACCAGAGAGTGAGAGACCAGAGAGTGAGAGACCAGAGAGTGAGAGACCAGAGAGTGAGAGACCAGAGAGTGAGAGACCAGAGAGTGAGAGACCAGAGAGTGAGAGACCAGAGAGCGAGAGACCAGAGAGCGAGAGACCAGGGAGCGAGAGACCAGAGAAATGGGAGAGGCCAAAAAGAAAGGCAGGAGAGAGGGACCAGAGAGCCGAGACCTGGGAGATGGAGACTTCTTATCAGTGTCAGGAGGAAAAATTGCCTTATTAAAAATTATATATTAACACCAAATATTGCTCGATGTCATGATGTGAATTATCTGTTTTCTTCCAGGTCCCAGTTCAGTGATGGACTTACTGAAGCCTGCCGACAGAGAGCGTCTCAAACACATCCGGAAATCACGCAGCGAACCCCAGTCTCACCCGTCCAAAGACTCCAGCTCCCATAATGCAATGCGGCCGCCTTCTCCTACTCTGGCGCCGTTTTCAAAGCCCCCAAGCGTCACAGCTCCCCCTAGTGTGTGCCTGATGCAGCAGCAGGAGGCCCTGTCTGCATGGAGAGGACAGACCTCGACACAAGCGTTTAAACCATTTGACAAGAATCCAGAGAAACAGGAACGATACGAGAAGTACCTGAACTGCCTCCGAGAAGGACACACCGGTACGTCTTCTGTGTCCAGAGAGCTGCTTAGTTTTTGTTTAGCCAGTGTTGTCTTTGTCAATATATTAGTCCACCATTTTTAACAGATTTATGAAAAAAAGTATATGGGACAATTTAGTTTGGATTTATTTTGGGTTTACATGAGATGATGTTGTGCAAAGTTTTTTTTTTTCTCCATGTTTCACTGTGCCTCATTAGTCACTGACCTGGAGTTGTGTTTTGATCCATCCATGCCTATATCAGAAACCTCTGGCATTGTACCACTATATCACACTCAAAGCTGTTTTCTGCCTTTAAAACTAAAGCATTGCACATAAATTAGTTTTGGTAATTTCTCAAGTGAATTGACATTCTCTACAATTAAAAATGTGATTGTAGAGTCTTGAAGCTGTTTTCCGCTGATAAGTTTCCATTATATATGGGAAAGAACAATACAAACTCTACTCCTCTTTTCTGGTGATTACAGACCGAATGCTCTACCTACTTGTTTCATCAGATGTTTTCTTCACATTCTTAAACATGAAGTGACAAGTCTCATTATCGCTGTAATGAACCATATAATGCTTTCTTTGAGCGCTTTGCCACGCCTCCTTTTTTAAAACTGACCAATCAACTACAGCCCTAATTGTCCCACACTAACCTGCCTACATTTGCAATCCTTATATTACGAGTTGTAATGGCTATATTTATCTTATTGTCTCCATTTTGTTGGACCAGACGCGCTGGACCAGAGCGTGGACTCTGAGATGACGGAGTGGGAGAGGAGTCGGGAGAAGGAGGAGTTTGTGCGGGCGTCCATCTTGTATCGGCCGTCCTCGTCTTTCCTGTCATCCAGATTCACCAGGGGGAAACAAGACGACGAGGAGACTGTGGAGGTGAACCGGGACGAAGAGGTAACACTGGTTATACACCTTACCTTTTAAAAAGTCCAACACTAACTTGTACTGAAATTAACCAATAAAGGCAACATGACAGTTGCCTTTTATTTAACATTTAAATATTGTTTTTTTTTGCACTGCGGTAATTAATTTAGAGGGCTCTCTCTCTGGTCTCTATTTGGTCTTGTAGCCCTCAGTCCTGCTCTTGCCCCTCAGCATGGTGTCCTCTGCAGCTGTATTTTAAAGTGAATGCACGGCTTTTGACAGCTGCAGCAGTGCTCAGACCTAAAACCTCTCTGGTCTCTCTCACTTCAGCAGTTGTGACTTCAGGTGGTTGCATAAAGTGTTGTCTCGGGGGTTTTAGTCCCTGTGATAAACCAGGGACCACTGTATTTATAATCCCATTCCAAATGGCCCACATGAAAGAGTTTCCCATTTAAATTGATTCAATTCCAGTACATTTTGACACTACTTTGATCTGTTCAGGGAGATTTGGACGACAAACAGGCTGCAGTGAAGATGAAGATGTTTGGGAAACTCACCAGAGAAACCTTTGAGTGGCATCCGGACAAACTGCTGTGCAAACGCTTCAATGTCCCCGATCCTTTCCCCGGGTGAGACCTCTGTCTGATCAGCGCAACAAATACTGATTCATATCATAGACCAAGGGCCCCAGACTATTTGTGGTCAGGGGCCAAAATTATAATTTAATTAAATTACCTTCATTTGTATGTTTTTCTTACAGATCGGGACTTGTAGGTCTCCCACAAGTGAAACGGGACAAGTATTCAGTGTTTAACTTCCTGACTGTCCCTGAGAGCAAGGAGCCTCCAGGTAACCATATTTACAGTACATTTCATTGCCTTTGACCAGAGCAGAGTCTTTCCTTTTGCATCTTGTTTTTGCTCATTGCCCCTCTGCGCAGCTCCTCTAAAACCCCCGGAGGTGAAGAAGTCTCGATGGGACATGTCGCAGGAGATGAAGAATAGTGACGCTCCAAGTGAGACGAACCCAGACAACAGCGAGGACCAAAACAGGACCACGGACGAGTCCAGGACTGCAGAGACCCTGGCTTTGCCTGCTCCAGACACTAAAGACACAAAAACAGAGGTGGGCATTGTTACGACCTTTTCGTAATGACCCAAGGCAAACAAACGTCTTTGCGGGATCTGTTAAAGTAATGAAAGACATACAGAATAGTTGTTTAAAGTTCAAGCTGTAGCCAAGGCCCTCTGTAGACCTGCTCTCATAGGTCCAGAAGTCCCTCTGCTTCCAAACAAAGGACAGTTATCCCATTTCAACAGGGAAGTTGTAACATAACCTACAGCTAATGGAGCAAAACAAAGCTGAGATTGGTTCAAACTAGGGCCGGGACTTTAATTAAGTTAATAATTTTAATATTTTTATTAAAATTTTTATTTTTATATTTTTTAATTAGTTAATTAAGATTAATTAACGGCACAAAAATGTGAGCGTTAAGAAAATTGACACATTTTAATCATATGGGTTTTTGCACCGCAGAACGTTCCTCACTGGATGAGTTTCAGACAGACAAACTGGAGCACCAGCTCGAGCACCGTGACTTTTTTTGTTCAAAAGTACATTATTACAAGCATAGACCAACTTTAGCTGTGTCTAAATCCGAGTGAGTTAGAAACGGGAATAAGCGCTGTGTATGGGGAGGAGAAGCAGCGATCTGTGTGTGAGCCGAGGCGTAGGAGGAGGAGCGAGACACAGGTGTGAGCTGCTGATGTTTAGTCCGAATGTATACAAAACGTGTTATAAAAGCTTCGCTTGTCCTGCTTCAGTGCTCACTGCGAGTGCAGAGGATTTTGGGCATAAAAAGCGTCTGTTGTTGTCAGAGTCTGTGGAGGCGATGACAGATTTGTAATTGGATGTGAAAGAAGTCTGTCTGATCCCTTATCATCCACAATGAACATGTGTTGCTTAAACCTATGTATTCAGTCATTATTCAATGCTAAATTAAAAATCCATGTGAAAAAAATGTCTTCTCACCGTTATCAGGTCAAATATTTATATGCGATTTAAAATGCGTTTAATTCTGTGAGGAGGCATCATGTTAGCTCACAACAACATGGTTAGCTTCTGTGTTTGAGAATAAAAGTTCAAAGCATCCCTGAATGCAAAGGGGAAAAATAGCTAATTTCCTCATCATAATACGTCTCATTTAAATAAAACGTGAAGTCTTGTGCTGTATGTATTTCCTAACAGACTAAAGAAAAGTCGAGCAGAGAGAGCGACTCGGACAGCAGTGACTCGGACTCGGACTCTGTGGCGGAGGAGGAGACGCGGCCTCCCATGGACGTGTTCAAGGCCATTTTCTCCTGTTCCTCCGACGAGAAATCTTCATCCGAGAACGAGGAAGAAGAGAAGGAAGAACCGGAGCACATCACACACAATCTCTTCAACATCGACATCAGCGCTCTCCCCGCCCCTGCTGTAGCCACGCCCCCTAGTGCGCCAATCAACCGGAACACGGGTAAATGCAAAGAAAACCACACCACACCAAATCCCCGACCAGATGTTACTTACCCCATTCACATAAACCTCAAGTGACATTTTTTATGTATGTTCTGACAATAGCCCTATGCATATAAAAAGGTTTATAGTTAGTCCTGTGCATTTCCCTTGTCCGCTCTATTCACAAAAACACACACAGATCACACACATCTGGGTGCGTTTATGTGAATAGATCACAAAATGTAGCTCCTTTTAACCAGACACAACATGATTTCATAAAAACTTCTACTTTCACAATACCATGATACTTTGCAAGCTGAGTGGGTCATATCTTATTGAATCTTTCCAATGCTAAATGGTCACATGGATCCAGCTGTTTTCTTTTATAGACCTTCTTGTATGGAGCTATTATTGTTTCAATAATATTTGTGTGTGCGTAAACAGATTTGTGTGTGCGTAAACAGATTTGTGTGTGCGTAAACAGATTTGTGTGTGTGTAACCAGATTTGTGTGTGCGTAACCAGATTTGTGTGTGCGTAACCAGATTTGTGTGTACGTAAAGATTTGTGCGTGCGTAACCAGATTTGTGTGTGTGTAAAAGAAATATTTGTGCGTGTGTAAATAGATTTTTATGTACGTATCAAGATTTGTGTGTGCGTTAAAAAAAAAAAAGTAAGTTTTACACACAAGTTGTTTTTTTTACACACGAATCTTTTGACGCAGTCCTGCCTTGGCAGATTCGCAAGTGTAACTTGGACTGTGTGTGTGCGTAAACAGATTTGTGTGTGTGTAATTTGACATTTGTATCTGTAACAGAACAATCTGTTCAGCACCATCTGCTGGTGTACTGCTGGAACAACCACATTACACTTACGAATCTTTTTGACACACGCTTGGCGGCAGAGGTGTGTCAAAAAGAGATTTGTGTGTAAAACAGAGCCTGTGCGTAGCACTTAGGCTTTTTTCCGTTCTTCTCTTCGTACAACGTGGTTTTTTACACACAGATTGTTCTGTTACAGATACAAATGTCAAATTACACACACACAAATCTGTTTACGCACACACACAGTCCAAGTAACACTTGCGAATCTGCCAAGGCAGGACTGCGTCAAAAGATTTGTGTGTAAAAAAAACAACTTGTGTGTAAAACTTACTTTTTTTTTTTAACGCACACACAAATCTTGATACGTACATAAAAATCTATTTACACACGCACAAATATTTCTTTTACACACACACAAATCTGGTTACGCACGCACAAATCTTTTTACGTACACACAAATCTGGTTACGCACACACAAATCTGGTTACGCACACACAAATCTGGTTACGCACACACAAATCTGTTTACGCACACACAAATATTATTGAAACAATAATAGCTCCATATTCTTGCTGTGAGGCGAAAGTTTCCATTAAACATAGACTTTAAGATTCAACAAAAACAAAGGTTAAACAGATTTCTACACTAATTTTTGAAGTCAGAAATGGGACAAAGCTCATAATACTTGAGTCCCGTTGATTTAAATGTTGCAGTTCTGTGATAAGCCAGCAGATGGCAATGAATTCTATTGTTTTTGTGCATGTTTCAAACTCACTCTAGTTTTCCTCCACAGCTTTCCCATTTGGACTTGCACAATTCTATAACTCCCACTGCACATTTAAAAACAAATTCAATTCAATGTTTGTGTGCAGCCCTGAATCCTTAGCAACTTATATAACCCTGTGTGGAAAAAAATGAGACACTTTGGGGAGGCCCATAATGAGAGAGAGAGATGTCAACTTTACTGTTTCTATGGGAGTGATCCACCTCAAGCTAAAATTATGGGATTTGCTTAAGTATCAAAAAGGTGACGTGTTCCAAAGTTACAAACTCCCTTTAAATGCGTCACATTCTTATAAACCCATTTTTATGAATAGTTCAACAGTTCTTGTTCTATTCCTAATGTCTGTCAGATCATTCTGCTCTAGCTTTAGTCTGATTCTACAACTGTTCATGGTTTCCCCTCCAGCTCACTCCGCTCAAGACAAAACAAGAGACGAACAGGATTGTTTTGGTCCAAAGCTGCCTCCACCATCTTCTACTTTGAGTGAGTTCACATGCTCCAAGTATTCATGATGGGGTCTCTCTGGTCTCTCTGGTCTCTCTGGTCTCTCTGGTCTCTCTGGTCTTTCTGGTTTCTCTGGTCTCTCTGGTCTCTCTGGTCTCTCTGGTCACTCTCTGCTCTGTCGGTCTTTCGCTGTGTGTATACTCTCAACAACATCATATAACCGCTAGTATAAAATGTCAGTTCTTTTTTGTCAGAAGAAAATGAACTGTATAATATTACTATGTGAAATGTTTTGTTCGTTTAAATCACAACTATTTATTTCCTTTTGTTCAGGCAGGAGCACAGGTCTACGGCCCAGATCCAGGTCTCCCAGTCCAGGTGAAAAATCCAAAAAGTCCAAAGACAAGAAAAACAAGAATAAAAAGGAGCATAAGCACAAGAAGGAGAAGAAGGTAATGATTTTAAATGCTGTTTTACAACATCGAAAAGGGACAAAACCAGGACCACATCACAATCTAAACCTGGACTAGACCCAGACCCAGGTTTTCAATAATAATTGAGACCATTTCTGGCCTCAATTATTATTATTTTTGACCAGTTTAATCCACTTTATAATGTAACAAAAGCTAAAGTCTTGAAAAAGCAACACTTTGAGACCACGGCCTGCTGTCGTCATCTTCATATACAGCATGATATCTTTTGCATACAGAACCAGTATTTGACACCTTGGGCTGTGGGTGGTCCTTTTCTGAAAAATCCGATCTAAAGATGGGACAGAATCCTAAAACACATGCGTGTGAAAACCAGTGATTTAATAAAACTGTTTAGAGAGTGAGGAACGAGTGACATGGATTTGTATTTCATATTTCAATTGTTTGTGGAAATTCTATATCCCAGCTTTAAGAGCTGGTTTGGTCCTGTTGTAGAGTTGTGGCTGCATCTGAATTCATAAAACATGCCGCCTTTGTTATCCTTCCTAGTAATTTTAAACCCTTCTTTAATGTTTTTTTCCTGTGTTTTTTCCGCCAGCTCTACTCTACTCTACTCTACTCTACTCTTCTTGAATCTCCATTACGCTTTAATATCTGGGACTGTATCCTAGCATCCTACCCACAACACCCAGTAGCACTCTGGTCAATCACTGTCAGTTAGAACTTCCAAGTACCAGCTCGGCCTGGATAGAACCAGAACCGAGAGGGACTAAAGAAAAACCTGGTACTGGTTATACAGGGCTGATGGAAACACTCCAGGGCAGGGCAGAGCATGGGGCAGGGTAGGGTAGCGCTGTTGGAAAGGGGGCTTATGTCTCTATAAAATGCTGTTTCTCTGTATTAATGTCATTAATCCTGTTTTTTTGCAGAAGAAGAAGCATAAAAAACATAAGCACAAAGGCAAAGAGAAGAAAAGCCGGAAAGACGAGAGCAGCTCTGAAAGCGACAGCGACGAGAACGCGGCAGAAGTGTCCACAGAGGAACTGCTCCGGAGGTCTGTGAGGAAATCCACAAGGTGTAATCAGCCCAAGTCCCCAGAGCACTCTGATCATTCTGGCCCATTTCATTGAGATGCTGCAGTGCACAGAATCTCCAGATTTGTCCCCAAAGCCTTCACCCGATACTTGCGATACGAAAAAGATAAATAAATCTATAATAAGAATACTTTTGAGAAGGAAGTCATCAAGGAATACAATTGTAAATGCTGTTAGTTTGATAACTCTGGTCTCTCTCTCTGGTCTCTCTCTGGTCTCTCTCTCTGGTCCTCTCTCTCTTCTGGTCTCTCTCTGGTCTCTCTCTGGTCTCTCTCTCTGGTCTCTCTCTCTGGTCTCTCTCTCTGGTCTCTCTCTCTGTCTCTCTCTCTGGTCTCTCTCTCTGGTCCCTCTCTCTGGTCCTCTCTCTGGTCTCTCTCTCTGGTCTCTCTCTCTGGTCTCTCTCTCTGGTCTCTCTCTCTGGTCTCTCTCTCTGGTCTCTCTCTCTTTTCTCTCTCTGGTCTCTCTCTGGTCTCTCTCTGGTCTCTCTCTGGTCTCTCTCTGGTCTCTCTCTGGTCTCCTGGTCTCTCTCTGGTCTCTCTCTGGTCTCACTCTGGTCTCACTCTGGTCTCTCTCTGGTCTCTCTCTGGTCTCTCTCTGGTCTCACTCTGGTCTCCTCTGGTCTCTCCTTTCTGGTTTCTCTCGTCCTGGTTTCTCTGGTCTCTCCCTGTGTCTTTCTGTCTCTCTCTGGTCTCTCAGTCCAAAAGCATCAATTCAAATCTGAAGTAACCATTTCTCTTTGTTTCAGGTTGAAGACCGTCCGCTCTCAGTGTCCTCTGTGAGGACTCAAGTCAAACCTCAACAATCCAACAATAAATTCTATCTATTGTACACTTGCTGCGGTTGAGTCATTATTTTTGTTTGAAACATTCTCAAAATAGAAGAACATAAGAGAACATAAGACATGTAATAAGAAACGCATATGAGCCGTTGGATCAAAGGGACAACCACTGTCTCTAAATTACTAAACCTCTTTGGACATTATTATTGCTGTTAAAGGTAGCTTTTTAAAATACTACAGATAATTATCATTATTGTTAAGATGCAATGCACTGAGGAGGAGGAGCAGTGTTTGGGAGAAGAGCATGGACATTTTCACAATGGTAGAGGTAAATAAAGCAGCATGAGGGCATCCAGAGGCCCTAGTATATATCAACATATGGTTTGAGGCCCCGGTATATTTCTATAGTTGTGTCACCCTTTAAGGATCACCTAATTTCGCTTGCTCCTTCTCGAATTATGGTACCCAAATGGAAATGCTTATTGTGTGGACATCTTGTGTCTGATTTTGTGTTATGAGAACTCATTTGAAAGGTAACACCTTCTAGTTTCTGAAAATGTATGTTACAGTTTGTTAGGAGGGACACAGTCTGCACTACACCTTCTCAAACATGAGTAAAAGTTCGTTTTTTTTGTCAAAAAAAAAGAAGGCAATTTCAAAAGGTTCTCCTGAAGACATACTTTATGGTATGATGTTCAAACTCACCAGAGCAGATGTTTGTGGTGTTGGAAACACCTGTATGAAATTTTAGACCTTTAGGTGGAACTATTTTGATGCTGGGGGCTTTTTTGTAACTAATGGGCACATTCGGCACAAGTGGTCCATTTTTGTGACAACTGTGCCAAAGTGTTTTACATGCAAATTATCAATGTTTTTACACCAAAAATCCATTTATATCATTTTTTGGCTATTACTCTTGCTATAAATAGCATTTTTTCCAGATATTGAAATGTTTACAGAAAAGCTATTATTTATATAGTTATAGCGCGTGTTCTCCGTGAAAAAGGCTCGTCTTCCTCTTTACGCATTCAAATATGACGGGAACAGTGGGAGGAAGCTAGAAGTCCGACACATCGCCTGAAACCTGAGATTATTGGCTACAAGATGATTTGATTGACATCCAAATCGGCCAATGGTAGTCAAGACAATGCTGTCATGACGCACAGATATCTATGTGAATGGAGCGCTAAAGCTAGGTGCGCTTGTTTTACTCAACTTACTCTACCTTCCAAACCATAGCACTGAAAAGTCCGGGAATGGGCTTGTTTTGAAGGGGAGGCTTAGGGGAAGACGAACATACCCAGTGACGCTAGGTAAATAGTAAAATGTCCTCTTCATACAGTGCGCAAAGAACAGGTTTTGTTTTTGTTTGTGCAATTTTCAATGCTCAAATATGTTGTTGCAAGTGGATATCTACTATAAGGATGACTTTGAAGAAAAAACAACTGGATATAATTATTCTCTAGACCCTAACGAACAAAACTAATGCACACATGTGTGGATTCTTACTTTTGGTTATATTTAATGTTTATTTGAACATAATGCGTGTATAGAGGTGGGAATAAGCTTTCAAAAGAGATATAGCTTGACTATATTGACACAAGTGAATTCTAATACTGATGCTGTTAAATGAAAAATAACTGAATCAAGGGTGATCCTTAAGAGGTTAAATAATGTTTGTAATGTTTGATATCCTTCTGGAAGCTATCTGAACCTATGGGCTCTTTTAAAACACACATTTTACATTATGAGACATCAGAGTATGTTCTGCTGATCCTGCTGAGAACCTGCTGAACATTCTACACATCACTGGAGAAGCAGTGAGTAAAACTACAATCTTTAAGTCACTTTCTGTAACTGTTTAGGTCAGTGGTAAACCTTTGAAAATTGGGTTTATCTCATTTTGGAAATGTGGGGACCGTTGTTGCTAGGCAACAATGCCTTTCAAAGAACCCATAGTTCTAGAAATCTGGTTGCTATGGAAACCTTTGCAATGCCATAATCCCTTTATGACATCAACGGTTTCCATAGCAACCAGTGAGTTGAAAAACTATGTGTGTGTGTGTCAAATATCTTAAGCTGTCAGACAGGACAATTCAAGGAGAATTGGAGTCAACCCGAGCGAAAAGCCAATCAGAGGATTTGACCCAACAGGAAGAAAACAGTGATGGACGACGGACGCCTGGACCAAGAGAAGAGGCTCATACAGGCTTTGCTCTTGAAGTGGAGACAGGATGAGAGAGAGCATGCCCAATCAGAGCAGCTCTGGCAGGAGAAACTAGAAACCTGCCTGACTGCTGAGGATCTTGGAGGAGACCACCCATGGAAGAAGTCTGAGGAGGCTTGGTTCCTGAAGGAGAAATCCTTTCATATCCATGTGAAGGGGTTGTTGCGGTCTATGGAGAGAAAGCTGGAAGAAGATTCCGACGAGTGCCCGGACTTATACGAGCTTCAGGAGCAGTTCTGTGAAAGAAGATTGCACTTGGAGTGCCGTAGATGTCAATGGCTTCAAAAGGATGCGTGGTTCCAAAGGGGAGAGGCCTCACAGAATCAAATCGAGTTTCAGAAAAACAGAATTTTCACTTTGAAGGCCAAAATAACTTCCTTGGAGCAGGAGCAAGCAACCTTTTGTGAAAAATGCATAGAAAATGCGCTGACGGAAAGCATGGATCTCTCAGATAAGTTAGAAGAGAAGGCAAAGCTAACACTTCAGGAGAGCAACCTGAAAGAGCAGCTAGCTTTAAAAGAGAAAGCGTTAGTGCAGTCCCGACTCGATGCATTGAACAAAAACCAGCAACACATTCAGGAGAGACTCCAGTGGATGCAGCAGGAAAATGCACGGACAAATGTTTTTATGGACAGGTTTAACAGCCTAAGTCAGAGGTTTGGACAGCCTCCACTGAGCGAGGATAAGCTTCACAAAGACAAACAGACAGAAGTTGAAAAGCAAAGTCGGAACATGGTACAGCTGCTAATCGAGCCCCCAGCAAAACATCATATCAATGTAGAAGAGATTTTTTCTGCCGGTGGTAGAGGCATCAAGTGCACGGCTTCCAAAACTGGAGAGTCATTTTATGTCAGTGATGCAAGACTCTTCCGGAAATTTCTCAGTGAGCAAAATCTAAAAGGCGCTAAAGAATGTTCAGAGCCTAAAGTTCGGCCCATAAGGAGGCCTGGATGTATTGGATTCAGGAGAGGTATGCTACTGGATCCAGCCAGGTGGGCAAAGCCACCGAGAAGACAAGAGGTGAACAAGCCTCCACCACAAGAAAAAGTCATCACTGCGGAAGACTTTCTCTCCAGAGGTGGTGCAGGGCTTAAATGTACGCTTAACCAAACTGGAGAGGTCTTTTACGTCAGTGATGCTAGACATTTCCGCCAATTTCTCAATGAGCAGGAGTGTCAAAAAAACTTTGTTTGGATTGGTGAAGGCTCAGAGACATCCCAGGCTGAACTAGAAGAGAAAATCCACTTTGTTGAAGATTGTCTCCCACTTGGCAGTGGGAAACCATTGCCTTTTGGAGGTTTATTCACTTTCTCCAAATCAAAGGCCAAAAACAATAATAACCTTGAGGAGTAAGTTAGTGGCAAGAGTGGATAGGCTGAGGTGTTCCCAGCCTCCCAACCTCACTGAGCAGGAAGTGTCCTGTAAGTGAGAGTCATTTCAATGCATTTAGGGACACCTTTACAAGTTTATGAAGTTTAATGGAGCTTTAACAAATTTCCAAAAGTTCTACTTTTGAAAGGGGGACCTCATAAACCAGCAGGGGCTACAGGAGTCTTGGAAGCCCTCCATGTTGATTCACAAATCAGCATGGAAGGCTGATCAGCTAAAGTCTGGAACAGCCTTCCATGAAATGTGAGACAGGCTCACATTTACTGGAAAGGACATTTTAACAGCTCTTTCGTGCAATTCCATCGGTTAATCCCCTTGTTTGGTGATTTATTTTGTGTGTTTTTCTTTTTGTTTGATTTGCCTTCACGTTTGTGTTTGCTGCGTGTTTTGCTTTGCTTTATATGCCATTTGTTTGCATGTTTTACTGTTAACTTTATTTGCTTCCCTTAAGTTGAGTTTTTGCATTATTTTGCTCGCTTTTATCCATTCCTATAGGTTTATAGTGTGTTTAACTATTGTAATAAAATAAATATTTTTGTACAGTTGTAACACTGTTTCACGTCTCATCAATGTCCACGGCCCTGTGCGCTTTATTCTATCCGATAAGTCCAGTTCACATTTTTCCAAGGTACTGGCCCTGGGTGGCGCTGTTGGTGCTGCTATTCATTTTTTTTGTAGTAACCAAAGTTGAAAATCCACTCGGACTTCCACACATGCACGATTAAGAATTTCCTTCACACTTGCTTTAGGCAAGGCAAGACAGGTTTATTTATATAGCACAATTCATACACAAGGCAACTCAAAGTGCTGAACAAAATAAGAAAGCATTAAAATCATAAACAATCACAGAACATTAAAAAGAAAGATAAAAATATAAAATCCCTCAGTTGTATGCACAGCTAAACAGAACTGTCTTTAACCTGTTTTTAAACATTGTTAGAGAGGAGGCCTGTCTCACATCTTCAGGAAGATTTTAGCAGCATGAATCCGAAAAGCAGCCTCCCCATGTTTAGTTTTGACTCTGGGCACTAACAGGAGTCCAGTCCCTGTGCTCCTCAGAGTCCGGGCTGGTTCGTATGGTACTAACATGTCACTAATACAGTGCGAAAGTATTCGGCCCCCTTGAACCTTTCAACATTTCGCCACATTTCAAGCTTCAAACATAAAACATAAAAAAAAAATTTTTTGTCAAGAATCAACAACAATTGGGACACAATCGTGAAGTGGAACGAAATGTATTGGATAATTTAAACTTTTTGCTCCTGTGGAGGATCAGTGAGGGGCTGGTGCTCTGTGACTGGGTGCAGCTCTGACTGCCACCCCCCGACCCAGAAATGGATTAAGTGGAAGAAGATGGATGGTTGGATGGATGGATGGAATTTAAACTTTTTTAACAAATAAAAAACTGAAAAGTGGGGCGTGCAATATTATTCGGCCCCTTTACTTTCAGTGCAGCAAACTCACTCCAGAAGTTCAGCGAGGATCTTTGAATGATCCAATGTTGTCCTAAATGACTGATGATGATAAATAGAATGCACCTGTGTGTAATCAAGTCTCCGTATAAATGCACCTGCTCTTTGATAGTCTCAAGGTTCTGTTTAAAGCGCAGAGAGAACCATGAAGACAAAGGAACACACCAGGCAGGTCCGAGATACTGTTGTGGAGAAGTTTAAAGCAGGATTTGGATACAAAAAGATTTCCCAAGCTTTAAACATCTCAAGGAGCACTGTGCAAGCAATTATATTGAAATGGAAGGAGTATCAGACCACTGCAAATCTACCAAGACCCGGCCGTCCCTCCAAACTTTCATCTCAAACAAGGAGAAGACTGATCAGAGATGCAGCCAAGAGGCCCATGATCACTCTGGATGAACTGCAGATAACTACAGCTGAGGTGGGAGAGTCTGTCCATAGGACAACAATCAGTCGTGCACTGCACAAATCTGGCCTTTATGGAAGAGTGGCAAGAAGAAAGCCATTTCTCAAAGATATCCATAAAAAGTCTGGTTTAAAGTTTGCCACAAGCCACCTGGGAGACACACCAAACATGTGGCAGAAGGTTCTCTGGTCAGATGAAACCAAAATCGAACTTTTTGGCCACAACGCAAAACGATATGTTTGGCGTAAAAGCAACACAGCTCATCACCCTGAACACACCATCCCCACTGTCAAACATGGTGGTGGCAGCATCATGCTTTGGGCCTGCTTTTCTTCAGCAGGGACAGGGAAGATGGCTAAAATTGATGGGAAGATGGATGGAGCCAAATACAGGACCATTCTGGAAGAAAACCTGTTGGAGTCTGCAAAAGACCTGAGACTGGGACGGAGATTTATCTTCCAACAGGACAAGATCCAAAACATAAAGCCAAATCTACAATGGAATGGTTCACAAATAGACGTATCCAGGTGTTAGAATGGCCAAGTCAAAGTCCAGACCTGAATCCAATCGAGAATCTGTGGAAAGAGCTGAAGACTGCTGTTCACAAATGCTCTCCATCCAACCTCACTGAGCTCGAGCTGTTTTGCAAGGAAGAATGGGCAAGAATTCCAGTCTCTCGATGTGCAAAACTGATAGAGACATACCCCAAGCGACTTGCAAATGTAATTGCAGCAAAAGGTGGCGCTACAAAGTATTAGCGCAAGGGGGCCGAATAATATTGCACGCCCCACTTTTCAGTTTTTTATTTGTTAAAAAAGTTTAAATTATCCAATAAATGTTGTTCCACTTCACGATTGTGTCCCACTTGTTGTTGATTCTTGACAAAAAATTTAATTTTTATATCTTTATGTTTGAAGCCTGAAATGTGGCGAAATGTTGAAAGGTTCAAAAATACTTTTGCAAGTGTGGTACACCGAGGGTGTGGTTGATTTTTAAAAACCCAAGGGTCACAATCAAATTACAATATAAAAAGGAACACAGGTAAGTCTCTAAGTTAAAATATGACAGAAGTGAATGAAAGTTTAAAATGTTTATTGATAAAAGGATGCTGCTAAAAGGAGGAAGGAATTGGACAAACTAAAGTTAGAAAAGGTCAATTTTATCTAACAAATTAAACAATATATAAAAAGGTTATTCAAAAGTTATTAAAATGGTAAAGATGAATCTAAAAAGGCCTAGATGCTAAAAATGCAAATACCAAAACAAAAAGGGAGCTAGCTGGGGCCACCGGTGGTGAGCATGCTACTCAGGGAGGTGCCCAGGGGTGCTACCCAGAATACTCACCACAGTGGACACAGCAAAAAGACACAGCAAATGAAATGTGCAAACTAACTCGTGAACCAAGTGCACTAAATCACATGCAAAGGTGGGGGACCACACCAATGTGCCTAGCCCAGCCACCAGAGGCACCCAGCGTCGCTAAAAGAAAAAGATAAAAGTTGTTAATGAGAAGTATGACTGGACCCAGTTGGTTTTAGACAACCTGTTGCTGTAAACATAAATCAAAAGATTTAATTAAACTAAACTAGTCAAAGAAACTATATTAACAAAATAAAATAAAAAGCAAAAGTATACATCAAAGAACAAACTAGACTAAAGCAAGTGGCACAAAAAAAACAAAACAAGAAACCAGCAACTAAAGAAAACCAGTAATGACACAAACAAAAGAAAAACAAACATCAAAACAGAACAAAAACAAAACAATGACAAAGTAAAACAGCAGCAGGTTAGCCTGTGTGGAACAAAGTTATAATTATTGTTAAGGCTGACTAAAACTAAAAACTTGCCACCAACTTACCACCCTTGACGGTTAGGAACCAGCACTAAATAAAAACAAGACCAATTGTCACCATTGGGGCAGAACGGATTAAGGACAGAAAAAGAGTAACAAGTGGTAAGGGCCTACCTCCACAGCAGACTTATGCTGCCTACCCACTCCAGCAATACAGCAGCAAGACAAATTTGGACAAATTCATGAGGAAAGGACCACAGCTACAGAGCACACCAGCATCACAAAATGGCTCCCCTCCAACTTACCCAGATGTTTAAAAGGGGCAGCTAACTAGTGGGTGGGGCGAGGGTGGAGCTAGGGGTGGAGCCACAGGGCACACCAAAGCCCCACTACATTCTACCCCCCAAAACTTTAATCGTCGGCCCGACGATTGTGTTTACTGCCATGGCCGGAACACTCTTGTACTGGGTGCAGGCAATTGCGAGTTTGTAGCCCCTATTGCATTACTCCCTACTGGTTGGGGAAGGTGGTAGCGATTTGGGTGTCTTCCGGCCATGGCCCGAGTGGTCCTCCTTGGAGGGGCATCCTCATCACTCGGTGGGTCTGTGACGGAACGAGCTGGCTCTGACTCGCGGCCCGTTGATGTGGGCACAGGTGACTGACCTGACGAAGCTGGTACTGAGGTCCTGGGTGTGGTGCAGCGCCGAACCGGTTCCTCTACTCTAAGAAACCACTCTCCCTCGGCCAGTGGCCCTTCGGGTGCCGTGGCGATAGGAACTGGCACGGGCTCCATAGGAGGTGGTGCCGGTTGATCCACTCTGCCCTTTATCAGTGACCGATGGACATTTTTTACTTGTCCAGGACTGTTGACCGGAGCGATAGTGTACACGCAACCTCCAGGTTTGGGTGCAGTTACGACTTTGTGCACTACAGAGCTCCATGAATCTTCGATCTTGTGGCGGCCTCGGATTCCAACATTTTTCAAGTAGACCAGCTGACCCTGTGCCAACGGCTGATCGCGGACCTTTGCATCATGGTTTGTTTTCCTGTGTACCGCCGCAGCGTCCAGGTGCCTTTTTGCTTCGTCAAAGGCATGCTTTAGTCGCCGTTGATGTTCGACAATCCACTCTTGAACAGTGCCTGCGACCGGCTCCTTGATGCGCCCAAGAATGAAGTCGACTGGCAACTGTGGGTCTCGACCGAACATCAGGAAGTAGGGAGACTCACCCGTGGACTGATTTGGGGTGGTGTTGTAGGCAAATGTCATCTGGGGCAGGTAGCAGGACCAATCCCTCTTCTTTGTTACTGGCAGAGTGCGCAAGAGGTTATGAAGAGTTCTATTGAACCTCTCGCACTGCCCATTTCCGGCGGGGTGGTAGGGCGTAGTGTGAGTCTTTTGAACCCCGTACAGTTGACAAAGCTGCTGGATCAATGAGCTTTCAAAGTTCCGTCCTTGATCGGAGTGAATACGTGCTGGCACTCCAAATTTGTAAAACCACTCCATGACGAGGACTCTGGCAGCATTAGATGCCCTCTGGTCTCTGGTGGGCACGGCTTGGGTGTACTTTGAGAAGACGTCCGTCATGACCATCACATTCTCCATGCCATTCTGTGAGGGTTCCAGAATGGTGAAGTCAATGGCCAGGATCTGGTTGGGGCGAGAAGCCAGTAAGTGTCCCATGTATGACCCGCCAGATCTGCTTTCTTTGGCGACTTGACATCTTTCACACTCTTGGCACCATCTCTGGATCTCAGCGTACATTTTGGGCCAGTAGCATCGCTGATGGATTAGCTCCGATGTCCTCTCAATTCCCTGGTGCCCATGCTCCTGATGTAGTTGCTGTAACACCAGTTCTTTCAGAGCACTGGGGAGGACCAGTTGGAGGGCTTCTTCCCCCTTGAGAGTAATCCGGCGGTAAAGTATATTGTCCCTGGTGAGGAGCCGAGACCACTGTTGGACTAGGATCACGGTGTCCCTCAAGAGGTTGCGCCGCTCTGTTGCGTTGGGACGCCTCTCCTCTCTCCAGAACTGCAGGAACTCTCCAATCATGGGGTCAGCTTCCTGTAAGGCACACAGATCAGCAACAGATTGAGATGGCAAAACTGATACAAGGTTGGAAGATACGGGTTGCCTGGCTGAAATGGCTTGCTGCAGTGGTTCTGGCATAGGAAGGCCTAAGGGTACTGGAACATGGTCATGATTGGCCATAGGGTTTTGGCGCGACAGAGCATCAGCGTTGCCATTAGCTCGTCCTGGCCTGTATTTTATGGTAAAATCAAAGTTGGCTAGCTGGGCAGCCCAGCGTTGTTCCAGGGCACCGAGTTTGGCAGTGGACAAATGGCTGAGTGGATTATTGTCTGTAAACACGGTGCATTTATGTCCAATCAAATAGTCTCTGAACTTTTCGGTCATTGCCCATTTAAGTGCAAGAAACTCTAGTTTCATTGAACTATAATTGTTCATGTTCCGCTCGGTAGGGCGAAGGCCACGGCTCGCATAGGCTACTGGTCTAATCTTGCCATCTTGTTCTTGCGAGAGGACTGCGCCCAACCCACTGTAGCTGGCTACCCACTGTAGCTCAATTTCAAGTATGAACGGTAGTGAGAAGTTTGCGTAAGCTAAAACAGGCGCTGCCACCAACCTTTGTTTAAGTTCTGTAAAACTGGTCTCACACTCTGGAGTCCATGCAGTGGGCAGTGGAGTCTTTGAAGGCCTCCTGGTCTTTGTCCCATTAAGCTCTGCCACGAGACGATGTAGCGGGGCGGCCAGTTTTGCGAACCCCTCAATGAACCGGCGGTAATAGCTGGTGAATCCGAGGAAAGAGCGGAGCTGTGGAACAGTTGTTGGATGGGGCCAATTTGAGACAGCCTCAACCTTGCTGGGGTCTGTAGAGACACCATCCCTGGAAATTACATGGCCCAGATAGCCCACTTCTGTCTTGAAAAATGAACACTTCTCCAGTTTTGCTTTCAGTCCTTCTTCCTGCAGCCGAAACAGTACGGTCTCCAGCCTTGCGATGTGTTCTTTGACTGTGGATGAAAAGACCACCACATCATCCAGGTACAGTAACAATGATTGACAGTTCTGGTCACCAAAAATCCTTTCCATCAATCTCTGGAATGTTGATGGCGCATTGCACAGCCCGAATGGCATCCTGTTCCATTCAAACAATCCAAAGGGGGTGCAGAATGCAGTCTTCATTTTGTCTTGTTCTGTTACTGGTACTTGATTGTACCCCGCAGCGAGGTCCAGCGTCGAAAACCATTGGGCCCCAGAGAGGGCGTCAAGGGACTCCTCTATTCTGGGCAAGGGGAAGGCATCCTTGCGGGTTTTACTATTAAGGAGCCGATAATCGACGCACAAGCGGAGGCTGCCATCTTTCTTATTGACAAGCACAATGGGAGATGCAAAGGGGCTACAACTTTCCCGAATCACCTGCGACTCCAGTAGCTGCCGGATGTGTGCTTTGGCGGCCTCATACTCTGACGGTGGTATCCGTCGGTACCGTTGCTTTACAGGCACCTCGTCAACTAGGGGGATCTCATGGGAAATTAGGCTAGTGCACCCTAAATCTCCCTCATGCTGAGAAAACACATTGTCATACTTATGAAGAAGGGCCCTGACACTGTGCTGATCCTTATCTGAAAGTGCGGAAAGGTCCATAGAGTCAATCCTAGCCTGCATTGGTATGCCAGTCTGAGAGGACATAGTGGCACTAAACTGACCTGTGACAGGTGAACAAACGATCTCTGCCTCAGTCAGAGTACCTAGTACAGTACGTGGGTACAATAGGACGTCCTGGTTCCCTACATTAACAATGGGGATGTAAACTCTGCCATTATCAATATGGACCACGGATGGAGAAGCCAAGAGTCCCACTGGCAAGCCGTCTGTACGGGGCTCAAACAACGCGTCTGTCTCTAGGCTTTGCTGAAAACAAGTGGCAGCTACCATCTTAACAGTACCTCCTGGAACCCTGCAAGCTTTACCCTCCTGTACTTTTACTGTGCCCGAAAGCAAAGGAGGGCCTGCGTCAATCCGGTGACAAAATCGAAGCGCTTGCTGAAGTGTGGGTGGGGCCTGTAAGACAGAAGGCGTGTGAAAGAGGGCATGACCAAACTGAGAAAACAATTCCTGATAGCACTCTTTCAGGATGTTCATGCCTATAACTCCTGGGGTAGACGCAGGAATGGGGGGGTCCTTAGTCACTAGCACTCCCCTTTTAGAAATGACTTTCCCACATAGTTCTACATCCAACTCAAAATAGCCTATGTATGGAATGGCTAAGCCATTAGCCGCGCTTAGAGTCAACCAATTACAAGTTTTCAACCTTTGTTGACCCCAAGGTTGAAAATGTTGGGCAAAGAAAGTTTCAGTTATGGTCGACACCATGGAACCTGTGTCAACAAGGCAGGGAACTTCAACACCACCCATCACAACTGAAAGATTCGGACAGGCTGAGACCAAGTTGTCTGGAATTGCTGGATTTGAGCCTGAGGGACCCCCACCTGAACTGTGGCTCAGTGGTTCAGGGGGTGCCAGTTTCCCGGCTGCAAACCATGAGTGGGACCTCTATTTTGGAGTTGGGGACACATAAGGGGAGCGACAATGACGCGCATAATGACCTGGCTGCTGGCATCGTTTACATATGACCGGGTTACCATAGTTTGTCTGCTGCTGTGGACCTCTAAGCTCTGCCAAACTTTTAGTGAGGAGGTTTAACTGTTCCTGCTGATTTTTAAGCATTTCCTTTAGCTCTGACATTTCTGAACTAGGGGGTGGTCTACTGAACTGGTTTGGATTTGTATGGACCTCTTGTACAGCGTGCTGGAATCCAAATGCAGAGGGGACTGAGTGACTACGAGCTCTCCCACCCACTGGCATCCCTTCCTGTTCCCACCTCATGGCCTCAGTGCGAACCTGAATAAGGGTGGCAGTTGGGTTATCACGAACATGCCGCTTTAAAGCTCGACGAAGTGAGCAATCTGAGACATGTTCAACAAATTGGTCTCGTAACAACACCTCTTTGTTTTCTACATTTCTAGGAGCCTTTTTAACAACTTTGTCCATAAGACACATTAAAGCATGGGAGAATTCTTGGAGCGTCTCACCCTCTACTTGCTTTCTTGAAAAAAACTCTTCTTGCAAACACACATGTGACCTTGTACAACCATACAATTCCTCTAAAATGGCTATAACTTTATGGGGGTCCTCACGCTCTCTTACAGAGCGATATTTAATCTCTTCCCTCGCTTGACCCTCTAAATGATCAAACATAAACAAGGCTTTCTCAGCCGAGGTACAACGGCGTAAGCGAAGGCAGGCTTCGACTTCTTCAAGCCACTCAGTAACGTCCAGTCCAGTGTTACCTCTAAACATTGGGCACCGACGCTCCCTGGGGAGGTACACCAGCCTCTCAGTTACCGGGGCATTGGAGTCGTTCCCAATAGGACTGGAATCAGAGGTGGAAGTGGAGCTTGACGTCCCAGGTCGAGCTCCATCCTGGTTCTGCTGTTCCTGAAGCCTCCGATTCTCCGCCTGGAGCTGAGCGACCAATTCCTTTAGTCCAGCGATTTCCTCCATGGACAGAGCAGAAGAGATTACGGCAGCACCAGCCGACGAGGCACACCCCAAACCCTGCTGCTGTTTTACACCAAAAATAGAAATTAAACCAACCAACTGGGTCACAAAAAAAAGAACATTACACGTCTCTGTCAATCTCAGAATCCTGCCAGCAACGCCAGATTGTGGTACACCGAGGGTGTGGTTGATTTTTAAAAACCCAAGGGTCACAATCAAATTACAATATAAAAAGGAACACAGGTAAGTCTCTAAGTTAAAATATGACAGAAGTGAATGAAAGTTTAAAATGTTTATTGATTAATTTTTTTAATTAAATCAAAAGATTTAATTAAACTAAACTAGTCAAAGAAACTATATTAACAAAATAAAATAAAAAGCAAAAGTATACATCAAAGAACAAACTAGACTAAAGCAAGTGGCACAAAAAAAACAAAACAAGAAACCAGCAACTAAAGAAAACCAGTAATGACACAAACAAAAGCAAAACAAACATCAAAACAGAACAAAAACAAAACAATGACAAAGTAAAACAGCAGCAGGTTAGCCTGTGTGGAACAAAGTTATAATTATTGTTAAGGCTGACTAAAACTAAAAACTTGCCACCAACTTACCACCCTTGACGGTTAGGAACCAGCACTAAATAAAAACAAGACCAATTGTCACCATTGGGGCAGAACGGATTAAGGACAGAAAAAGAGTAACAAGTGGTAAGGGCCTACCTCCACAGCAGACTTATGCTGCCTACCCACTCCAGCAATACAGCAGCAAGACAAATTTGGACAAATTCATGAGGAAAGGACCACAGCTACAGAGCACACCAGCATCACAAAATGGCTCCCCTCCTTCTTCTTCTTCTTCTTCGGATAATTTCCGGCAGACTAGGTGCCTCTAGGCACATTGCTGCCTCTCTTGTTCAAGTCCAGCACTACAATACCATTACATCCACAACAGCCCGACGGCTACAAGAAAGTCCACGAGCGCTCTTATAGCGAAGTCCTGGCCCTGTGCAGGGTTTAGCAGAGTCTGCAAAGTAACATCACTCTGAGGGACGGACGCAACAGTTTGAAATAGCTCTGCTCGTTGAGATCTATACAGCGGACACTCAATAAAAACGTGTTTGACAGTTTGGTCTTGTTTGCAGTGTTGACATAATCCATCCGGGTGTTTCCCGATTTTAACTAAATCCCACCCAAGGCCACAGTGTCCCAATCTCAGCCTGGTCAGAATGACAGCGGCTCTCCTGTCTTTACCCGTATATACTGACACTGGTTTTACTGATGGATTTAAATCAAAGTAATGGCGGCCCCTAAGGTCGCTTTCCCACATTTTCTGCCAGATAGCTGAGGTGTACCTCTTAATAGTTGACTTCCATTCAAGCACTCCTGGGACTACATAGACTTCTATCTCCCTCTTCAACGCCCATTTTGCAGCCATGTCAGCGGTCTCATTCCCATACACCCCCACATGTGATGGCACCCACAAGAATCCTACACTCCCCCCAGCTCTCTCCACTCTGAACAAGATAGCCAGCAGCTCTGCGATGAGGTCAGGCCTGGCATTAGCTCCACCACTCTCCAAAGATTCCAGGACAGATGCTGAGTCTGAACATACTACGGTTTTCTCTTGCCTAGTTTGCTCTATCCATTGCAAGGCCGCAATTATTCCCATCAGTTCCGCAGTAAACACAGAGACATCAGGGAGTCTTTTGAATTGCAGGATGTCATACTCTGGGACATAAAATGCAACTCCAGTCTTTCTGGTCTCTGGATCTTTAGACCCATCTGTATAAATTTGCAGAAATCCCTCCCATCTAGTACTTAGGGCCTGAGACACTGACCCCACGTAGTTGAAGCCTGCCTTGGCGAGACTCATCACAGTCATGTCTATCTCTGGCATGGGCAGAATCCAGGGAGGCACATCGGTCCATACCAAATGTGGAGCCACTCCTACATCACCCAGTCGCAGCCTCTCCATCTCTTTCCTCATCTTATACACAAAGGGTCCATACTTTGGCTTAGCACCCCATTCCCAAACTTCATCCAGCACCAGCTTGGCAGGATGACTACCAGGATAAGCTATTAGTTTGACCACATACTGCATAGCAAGCTTTGAGCGCCGGATTGATAGGGGACTTTCACCCATTTCAACAAGTAAGGCTGGAATTGGAGATGACCGCAGCGCTCCACAGCAAACCCTTAGTGCTTTTGCCTGTACACAATTTAAACGCCTGAGATGAGACACTGCTGCTGATCCATAACACATACTTCCATAATCCAACCTTGACCTAACCATTGCCCTGAATATCATTAACTGTGTCTCCCTGGATGCCCCCCATGAACTACCTGAAAGTAAACGCAACACATTAATCACCTTTTCACATTTGTTTACAATACTCTCAATTTGTTTTTTCCACGTAAGCCTCTCATCAAAAATAACACCAAGAAATTTAAAAAACTTGACCCTCTCAATTGGCTGCCCATGCATGTTCAAACCCTGATCTTTAACTGTTCTATTACCGAACACTACATATTTAGTTTTATCAATAGAAATCTTAAAACCCCATGTCTGTCCCCAAACAACAATCTTATGCATGCTCTCTTGTACTTGAGCCATGGAATGATCTACATTGCGACCTCGCTTCCAGACAGCCCCGTCATCTGCAAACAGGGATGTTCCAAACCCAGGTCCCACCTCATCAAACATATCATTGACCATAATATTGAACAACACAGGACTGATCACACTCCCCTGCGGGGTCCCATTATCAATCAACGTCCCATTAGATAAAGTGCTTCCCACCCTCACCTGAATAACTCTATTTTGAAGAAAGTTCCTGACCCAATTTAACATCCGCCCTCTAATTCCTGCATTGTGCAATTTTATAACCAAGCCCTCTTTCCACAACATATCATATGCTTTCTCAATATCCAGGAAAACGGCCACTAAAACTTCCCTGTTAACTATGGCTTTTTTAACATCTGCATCCAGACACACAACAGCATCCATAGTCCCTCTACCCTTCCGGAAGCCACTTTGTACACTACTAAACTTACCCTCTCGCTCTAATTTATATACCAATCTATCCGTCACCATCCGCTCCATCACTTTACACAAAACAGACGTAAGTGCAATAGGCCTATACGATCCAGCCTGAGATGGCTCTTTAGCTGGCTTCAGAATCGGCACAACAACTGCCTGTTTCCATGCCTTGGGGATAATCCCCTCTTCCCAAATATTATTAATTAGAGCCAGGAGTTCATCCAGCACACTGTCACTAACTCTCTTGAGGATCTCATAGCTAACACCATCTTTACCGGGAGCAGACCTCTTCCCTCGATTGATAGCTTTCTTTAGCTCTGCCATTGAGAAGAATAAGTTACACACATCCGAATTATCACAGTTTGTTTCCAACTTATGCCTATGCTGCCTTAAAGTTTCACTGCGCTTCCTCAAACCCTCCTCCCCCAGGTTCTCTCCACTATGAATAGCTTTAAACGTATTTTCAAACCAAGCTGCCTTTTCACTGTCAGATATAACTGACACTCCATTATTTTCCAAAACTGGCACCTGACTCCGCCGCGTTACTCCTGCCATCCGATGCACTGCTCTCCAAATCTCCGTCACTGATGTCTCGGCTCCAAGTTTTCCACAATACCTCCTCCAACAGTCCCTTTTAGCAACTTTAATCACTCTTCTGGCCTTAGCCCTTAACCTCTTATACTCCACTGCTCTACTCTGAGTTGGATATTTCCGTAACAACCTAAATGAACGATTCCTATTTTTCACTGCCTCCTCACATTGCTTATTCCACCATGGCACAGGCACTCTCTTCTTTGGACAGCTCTTTTTTGGAATACACATTGATGCATTATTCATAACAACCTTACAAAAACTTTCATTCCATTCGTCTAGAGTTCCACTATCATTTATTTCACTACACTGATTGTCACACAGACTGTAAAACCTTTCCCAATCTGCCCTTCCATAATTAAAATACTGCGAGAATTCCCCATCCCTGATAACCAATTCTCTTCCAAACTTTATTATTATTGGGTAGTGGTCACTTCCCACATTCCACTGACTCAATACATTCCATTCTCCCACTCTTGCTAATTCACTGGACACAAGTGCTAAGTCAATACATGACTCTGATCCAGTCTGTATATTGTATCTAGTGGCTCTCCCGTCATTCATACACACCAGGTCACACTCATCCATATACTCTTCCACTACTACTCCATTAGCATCCCTGCTTAAACTTCCCCATAACGGATTGTGAGCATTAAAATCCCCTACCCACACCACAGGACGACCCACTTGCTCTTTGATTTCCTCCAAATCTGCACCTTTAATTTGTAAACACGGATTATAAAAGTTGACTATATACTTCCACCCATCTCTCCCCCACACTCGAACAGCCACACACTCAAGGGAAGTTCTTAAATTAATTTTTTGAAATTGCACATTTCTCCTTATAAATGTAGCACAGCCTCCTCCTGACTGGTCTTGTCTATCAAACCTGACACTTTCATATCCAGCGATCACAAAGTCCAAGCAGGGTTTCAGCCACGTCTCCTGTACACACACAATTTCAGGTGAAATTTTGAGATCATCAAGAAATTTTTTAAACTCCTGACCATTTGCTAATAGACTTCTTGCATTCCACTGTAAAATGCAAAACATGTTTTAAGTTAAGACCCCGAACCTTGGCCCCCGTCCATGTCACCATCACTAAATTCATCAAGTATATCTGATCCTAATGTCGCTCCCAAATCTCCTTCCACCACCAACTCCACCTCCTGTCTGCACAGCACAGGGGGGCCCCCATGACCTCCCCCAAAAAATCTTTCAATGGCCTCCTCCACCAGTTTAACCATTTCTGCCTTTATAGACACATTCTTGGATGCCCATAGAGCATCGACCATAAAGGTCTTGAACGACTGGGTAGCAAATACGTGTTTCTCTTCTCTTTTTGACCCTGTCACAGCAGCCTGTTCCCCAGTCATACCAGGTCTCCTAGCTGCACTCACTTTTTTAATTGCCTCCGCATAAGTCAAATTGCCTGCCGCTTTTACCTTCTCAACTTCTACTGCTCTTTTATGGAATTCACACTCTCGAGAAGAAGGCATGTGGTTGCCCCCACAATTGCAGCACTTAGCTTGCTCCACAGTGCATTCACTGATAGTATGGCTCCCTCCACACTTCCCACACCTTGTTGACCCCCGACAGGCTGCTGCCACATGGCCAAATCGCTGACACTTGTAGCACCGAAGTGGGGGGCGATTGTACTGTCTAACAGGATAACTCATGTACCCCAGTGTCACCCTTTCCGGGAGTGTATCTTGTTTAAAGGTGAGAAGCACAGCATTTCCATTCTGGTTAAACCTTCGAGCTGCCTCAACCTCAGCACCTTTTACATTTTGAACAATATCTCGGTCTGAGATTTCCGGGCTGACATAAATTACCCCTTTGGTTTTCTTGTCATTAGCAGGGATCCAACTCTCCACTGGTGATCTAAGCATTTGCTTGACCTTTAATGCCTTTGTTCTCTGCGCTTCTGTTTTACAAAACATTAATATATTTCCATTCAACAGGACCTTGGCATTCAGCACAACACCAACTTTATCTTTCAACTCGTCTGACAGTTTGATTGGGTTGATACTTCTTGCATCTTTGCCTATAATTTTGAACATAACCTTAAATTCATTATCACTGTCAATCCGAGTTATTTTGCTTGTCTCTTGACTACTCTCTCGTTCACTATCATGCCTCGATCTACCCCGTTTCCTCGGAGGTCGACCGCCACCCATACAAATAAATGCTTAGCTGTTACCCACAGGATCAAAAATTTAATCCAAACCAACACTGCGAACAAGATTTCAAACTCACGCGCCTGTCAGTCCGACCCAGTCATGGCTCCCCTCCAACTTACCCAGATGTTTAAAAGGGGCAGCTAACTAGTGGGTGGGGCGAGGGTGGAGCTAGGGGTGGAGCCACAGGGCACACCAAAGCCCCACTACACAAGGTACTGTATATTTTGGTGCGAGGCCATGGAGAGACTTGTACACAAGCAGAGCTGTTTTAAAGTCTATTCTCTGAGCCACAGGAAGCCAGTGCAGAGACCTGAGGACCGGACTAATGTGGTCGTACTTCCTGGTTCTAGTCAGGACTCGAGCTGCTGCATTTTGAATGTACTGCAGCTGTTTTACAGCCTGTTTGGACAGACCTGTGAGCAGGCCATTGCAGTAGTCTAACCTACTGGAGACAAATGCATGGATAAGAATCTCCAAGTCTGCTTTAGACACTATGTTTTTGATCCTGGCAATGTTTATTTAGATGGTAAAAAGCTGCTGATGTTACTGATTTGATGTGGCTATTAAAATTTAAGTCTGAGTCCAGTATTACCCCTAGATTTCTGACCTTGTTTGAAGGTTTTAGGGAGAGAGACTGGAGGTGACAGATGACGCTCTCTCATTGTTTCTGGGGACCAAAGACTGATTATAAGAAATCTAGTAAGCTGTAGGTAGACAACTTTCTCAAGGACTTTCCCCATAAATGGCAGATTTGAGATGGGACGATAGTTGTTAAGTACCATAGCATCCAGACTGCTCTTTTTTAGCAGGGGCCTGATGACTGCAGTTTTCAGGGCCTTTGGGAATATTCCAGAGTGAAGGGACATGTTTACTATCTGTGTGAGTGAAGGTAACAGACTGCTCAGAACAGACCTCAGAAATCTAGTGGGTAGTACATCCAGGCTGCATGTGGAGGAGCTCAAACTGGAGATCATCTCTTGGACAGTTTGATCATTTACAGGTGCAAAGTGAGTTAGCTTAGAGAGCCTTTCTGGCTGTTGGATGATTATCTGTGGATTGGAGACAATGGCGTTTTTGATGCCTTGAACCTTGTCATTGAAAAAATTTGCAAACTCATTGCATTTACGTTTGGAAATAAGCTCTAATGGCATCTGAACAGGGGGGTTTGTTAATCTATTAACTGTTGAGAACAGAACACGCAGATTGTTGCTGCAGCCTTCAATCATTTCAGAAAAATACCTTTCTCTCGTACTACGAAGCACCCGGTTAAACTCGCACAACTTATCTTTGAAGATCTCGTAATCAACCTGGAGGTTGGACTTGCACCACTTCCGCTCGGCCCTCCGGCACTTTCTCTTTTGTGTCCTGTCCGAGTCTGCTTTAGCCCACGGCGCCTTCTGCTTATTTGTCACTATTTTAACCTTCACAGGGCCAACGGTATCCAGAACATTCAAAACACTAGAGGTGACAGAGTTAAACAGTTCATCTACAGTAGAACTGTAAAAAGTTTATCATTCCCATAAATAGATCACTCGTATTTTCATTTGCGCCTTCTTCGAACAGTTGCAGAGTCCACTGGTGGTTTGTTAGTGAAACACATGTCAAAAAAAAACACAGAAATGATCCGAAAGAGCAACATCGACCACATTTACATTTGAAATATTCACCCCCTTAGTAACTAACAGGCCTAGAGTGTGCCCTCTGCTGTGGGTGGGGCCACTCACATGCTGAGTGAGACCAGAAGATTCAAGAACAGAACTCAGGTCATTTGCATTTCTCTCACTAACATTATCCACATAATATTAAAATCACCTGTAATAACTAAACTATCAAAGTCTGTGCATACAACTGAAAGCAACTCGGTAAAATTATCAATAAAACTGTGACATGACTGCAGTGGCTTGTATAGGATAATGAAGAGTATTGGAGGAGATTGTTTTTGTTGTATTTTAAAAGACACATATTCAAAAGACGGAAACTTCCCAAGAGACATTCTATGGGAGACAAAGTGGTCTCTGAAAATGGCAGCTATGCCTCCTCCCTTTTTGTTCCTCACTGGATGAGTTTCAGACAGACAAACTGGAGCACCAGCTCGAGCACCGTGACTTTTTTTGTTCAAAAGTACATTATTACAAGCATAGACCAACTTTAGCTGTGTCTAAATCCGAGTGAGTTAGAAACGGGAATAAGCGCTGTGTATGGGGAGGAGAAGCAGCGACTTCTGTGTGTGAGCCGAGGCGTAGGAGGAGGAGCGAGACACAGGTGTGAGCTGCTGATGTTTAGTCCGAATGTATACAAAACGTGTTATAAAAGCTTCGCTTGTCCTGCTTCAGTGCTCACTGCGAGTGCAGAGGATTTTGGGCATAAAAAGCGTCTGTTGTTGTCAGAGTCTGTGGAGGCGATGACAGATTTGTTATTGGATGCAAAAGAAGTCTGTCTGATCCCTTATCATCCACAATGAACATGTGTTACTTAAACTTATGTATTCAGTCATTATTCAATGCTAAATTAAAAATCCATGTGAAAAAAATGTCTTCTCACCGTTATCAGGTCAAATATTTATATGCGATTTAAAATGCGTTTAATTCTCTGAGGAGGCATCATGTTAGCTCACAACAACATGGTTAGCTTCTGTGTTTGAGAATAAAAGTTCAAAGCATCCCTGAATGCAAAGGGGAAAAATAGCTAATTTCCTTATCATAATACGTCTCATTTAAATAAAACGTGAAGTCTTGTGCTGTATGTATTTCCTAACAGACTAAAGAAAAGTCGAGCAGAGAGAGCGACTCGGACAGCAGTGACTCGGACTCGGACTCGGACTCTGAGGCGGAGGAGGAGACGCGGCCTCCCATGGACGTGTTCAAGGCCATTTTCTCCTGTTCCTCCGACGAGAAATCTTCATCCGAGAACGAGGAAGAAGAGAAGGAAGAACCGGAGCACATCACACACAATCTCTTCAACATCGACATCAGCGCTCTCCCCGCCCCTGCTGTAGCCACGCCCCCTAGTGCGCCAATCAACCGGAACACGGGTAAATGCAAAGAAAACCACACCACACCAAATCCCCGACCAGATGTTACTTACCCCATTCACATAAACCTCAAGTGACATTTTTTATGTATGTTCTGACAATAGCCCTATGCATATAAAAAGGTTTATAGTTAGATCCTGTGCATTTCCCTTGTCCGCTGTTGAGATCCTTCGAGGTGGTTGTGGTGTTGAGATCCTTTGAGGTGGTGGTGGTGTTGAGATCCTTCGAGGTGGTGGAGGTGTTGAGATCCTTCGAGGTGGTGGTGGTGTTGAGATCCTTCGAGGTGGTGGAGGTGCAGAGACTTTTGGAGTCGGCTTCCTCCCTTTTGATGGCTGCACGCGCTGCGCAGGCTGAGGTCTGTTATAGAATTATATACCCCATGAAGGAGAAAACTCAAAGGTCCTTTGTCTGATCAAAAGCGTAAGTTTATTGTTAACGCACGTGCGGAGAGCCAGCACATCCACTCAAAGGCAGCATGTCCCAGCTCTGGGGCCAGAGCCCCGAGCTTCCTGTATACAAGACACACACGAAAGCCAGTCCCGCCCACAACAGATGGGAGGGGGGCCACCGGTGCAGGAGGCGCATAGGGATGCAAACAGACTGCAGGATGTAGAGAGTGCACACATACAGACCGATACATATGCAAGAGGTGAAAGGGGGCAAGAGTGATAGCCATTGTCTGTAGGTGTCGGGGGGGCCCGGCTCCTTCCTGGCAGCAGGGACATATGGATAGAAGCAGGCATACAGATTCAAGATACGAAAGACACAAGGGTGTGACAGACAGCAGGGGGCCCTCACAAAGCTCAGCATGGCGTCAGAAGGGCGTCTCTGCATTGATAAAAGGCCTTTGACGTCCGTGTATTTGCTGCGGCTGGTTTTATGTAATTACTCCAAAAACTGTCACCACACTCCCCTCTTTTGATAATTCAAAACCATTTTTGCATTAATCAGTTTAATACCAGAGGCATCGTAATCACACCACCTTCAAGCTTGAAACACTTAAATTATTGCTGTCCAAAGTGGACAAGAAAAGAAGCATGCTTGTCAATAAAAGAAAGAGCACATTATAATAACACAATGGATCCGGACAGCGATAAGAGAAGACAATATTAACATAATAAACACGGTCAGCACGGAAAGTAGTGTCAGTGTGGCCAGCATAACAGTCCAAGGGCCCATGCCGGTCTTAGCCGGGCTACGTTCGGTAGTCTTTTCCGCGGGAATACTCACGAGCAGTGCCGTCTCGCAGTCAGTGGCACCGCTCCCTATGAGCGTGTGTGGAGCGTTAGTGGTCATGGCGATGTTTGGTCTTGGAGCGGCAAGACTCTAATTGCGTTGAAGCCTTGGCCTCAGCACTCGGTTGGGCAGAGTGCTCGGGGTTTGGGGTGTGGAGACCATGGCTTGAGCACGCTCCAGATCGGCCAGGCCCAAAGCTCGTTTGATGGGAGACCTCATGACAGCACGCTTCACCATGTGCCTCATCAGGAACTGTAGAGCAGCCCTCATCTCCACCTCCTCCGGACACACGGGAGACGAGACACCAGGGGGCACTCCAGCAGAGCTCAAATCTGCATTATGGCCAGAGGGAGCAAGCTCTGGAGAAATCTTTGGAATGGGCAGCAGCTCTGCATACTTGCTGCAGCTGAGCAGAGCGCTCAGGGCCTTCATGGCTCCCAAGCCTTGGGATCCGGGGGCTGGGGAGTTGGGCAGAAGGGGGGTCGCCTCGGGAACGCTGGGATTCTCTGGGTGTTGTTGTTGGCCTGCTTCACCGACGGTGGCCGCACGCCGGCCAACTTCTTCAGCGTAGGGAGCCGCGGATGGGCCTGGTCCGTCCGCGCCCTCGGTGTCCTCGTCTATGGCCCTCAGTGGCAGCACCGCACGACAGTGGTTGGCGTGGATCCAAGTTGTCCTCTCCGCGACCTTAACGGCAGTGTCCGTCACCAGGAGGGCGAGGAATGGGCCGAGCCAGCGCTTGGACCGCCAGTGCTTTCGTCTCGTTTCCTTCACCAGGACCCAGTCGCCTGCGCAGCCTGTGGCAGGGCGCTCCTGACCTGGGCAGAAATAGAGGACAAAAGTGCATTAATTTCCTTACAATAGGACAGCATGTCGTCATCACACAAAGAGGTGCTTGGCAGATCTCTGTTCGGGGGTCCCGCGCCCAACGTGGGGCTAGCGGCAGAGCTTTGAGTGCCATTCTCTCGCTCGCACGTGCCTCCGGACCAGGGGTCGTAACTGCAGTGTTTACGTATATCAATGCCCAGAAATTCACCCACTTCCTCAATGACTTTTGCTACAAAGTGACTCACCACCGCGTTGCTCGTGGCGTGTATGCCTGCAAATACTTCAGTCCATTTGGACCAGAGATCCGCCAGACCCAGACAGTATTACTTACCTTGGCATGGTGTGAGTTCAACAAAGTCCCTTTGGACATGTTGAAATGGGCGCAGGGGCGGAGGATGAACAGCCTGTTGGATACTTTTGGGACTTACCTGGGTTGTGCGCGGGGCATATAGCGCATGTTTGGCTGAATCTCTGTGCAAATGCCGTAAACCCCTTTGTATACCAATTTTGTGTGATTAAATCACACATCATCCCTCCTTTTGAGGCATGGTCTCGACCATGTGCTAAAATTGCAAACTGTCTGAAGAAATGCCGTGGTAGGCACGGTTTGCTGTCTGGTCCCAGCCACACACACCATGCCGTCGTTGAGCCCCATTCCCCTCCCACAGCAGCGTCTCTGCTGGAGTAGAAAATATCAACGTCTTGAGTGAGGTAGTGTGTGTGTGTGTGTAGAGGTGCGTATGCCGCTGCCTTGTCCGCGCGCCGATTCCCTGCAGAGATGGGATCAGTGGCATTAGTGTGGGCCTGGCATTTGCATACAGCGATCTCTAAGGGCAACATTACAGCTCTCAGCAGACGTTCAACCTGTGTGGAATTAAGAATTGGTTTACCATCAGATTTCATAAAATTGCGGTGTTTCCACAGTGCTTCCCAGTCGTGCACCACAGAGAAACCATAACGCGTATCACAAAATATGTTAACAGTTTTGCCCGCTGCCAGCTCACAAGCCCTGGTGGGCGCGACCAGTTCAGCGGTTTGTGCTGAATGGTAGTGGGGCAAACTACCAGAGTCTATAGTATCAAAATCAGAACACACAGCATAGCCGACTCGGTTCTTCCCAGTGTTGTCACGTGACGCGGCTCCGTCTGTATAAAAAAAATCAAGTCAGGATTAGTCAGAGGCACCTCTTTCAGGTCTGGCCTGGGAGTGCATATCTGTTCTATTGTGGCGATACAGCAGTGTGCCTCCCCTTCCTCTGGCGTGGGCAGCAGCGAGGAGGGGTTCAGCTGTGTGCATCCCTTCACCGTAGTTCAAAGAGCACCGTGTTGTACCCCAGCCAACGAGCCGCAGAAAGGCGAGAGGCCCTCTGCTCTAACAGGATCAGGGAAACAGCATGGGGCACAAGCAAAGTTAGTTCAGTGTATCCCACAAGGTCACGTGATGCTAGGGCCGCTTTCTCAGCGGCAGCCACAGCCCGCAGGCAGCGAGGCAACCCTGCTGCCACGGGATCGAGTTTTGCTGAGAGGTAAGCAGTGGGTCTCAGTGGCCCTCAGTGAGGCTGCAAAAGTACCGACTGTTCCGTTCATCTCCAGTTGCTTTTCTCCCGGATCGTCCTCAATTCATATTGTGGGCTTTGGTGCCAAGGTAGAGGCTCATTTCCTCCTGATCCACACTACTGTCATCCCTGGAGCAGGGGTAGTTTATCTCTCATCTGAAAAAGAAATATCAGAACACACAACACACAAAAAATGCCCACTTTCGCTTGTCAATCTTTTTTCCAATTGGGCAAAACATAACTGCATTGACAGACGGTGTGTGGCATCAGGGCAGAGGCTGTAGCCAAATACAGAACAACAAAATGTATGTTTCTAATTTTATACTCCCCTAAATGTGAGTTTACAAACCAAAGTTGTCCTCCGCCCAATGACCGCTCACTGCGGTTGGACCGAATCACTGTCAGGGCAAACAGCAGAGGGAGGAACTCCCAATATCTTCAGCGAGGTATTTCATCTCCGAGTACTTTCCGCAGAGTACTTTTCTCAGAGTACTCATCCCAGAGTACTCTCACTTTTACACCTGTTCAATAAAGGTCGTTATCTTTGAATCTCTAGTACTTACACCGTATGCTGTTGACAAAAAAGAATTATTCCATGATCACATTAAAACATTACAGACACATTTGTTATTCCATGATTCCGTTCAGCATTCCTCATTTCACTCCACATTTCACACCACACTCATATCACAGTCACATCACACTCACATCACAGGCCGATTCCCCCACGTTAGTATATTGGTCCAGTTTGTTAAGGTCAACGTAGTGTACTTTGACATGACACACAAACATATAACATACACAAAACATATAACACACAAACATGTAACACACACAGAAGGCCTGTAATTTTAGCTTTGTTATATTTTCCATGTCCAATTACAATTATCTCATGAGCTATTTATATTGTTGCAACTTTCAGAGCCTGCAGAACATGCAAAGCTTTTTAAGAGATTTTTCCTAAAAAAAAGAAATCCATTTCCAACTTTAGTGTTTACCACGTGGTCTGTAGTCGGGCTTATCACAAATGGTGTCCCCTATATCTCTAATGAGCTCTTGTTACGAAAATGTAGCTTAACGGTTTTATAATAACTTCACTTACAATGACACTATGCACCTTTCAAATAACTTAAATCACACAAACAAGGCCCATCGCAAATATATCAATCCTATTAAACACATGCATTATTTACATGAAATATCACATTTTTAAAACTGATTAATCAAAATAGAAATGTTGTAACAGACAGTCTCTTCCAAAAGCCTCCTCGGGTTTTCATGCTTGTTCTTTCAACTGTGCCTGAGTAACTGTGCTGTAGTACAACGCTCGGTCCAGCTGGTGGCGCTAATACTAACTTCAGTGGCTCCCGCATTGTGCGAGCTTCCTGTTTACATTCTGATACTGTAGCTAACAGCTACTGTAGCAGCTACTGTAGCAGCTACTGTAGCTAACAGCTACTG